AGTCATTACCGTAAATGGCTGTAAGTAGGAATTGTTCGTGGTAAGAGATCTACATTGTTGGCAAATTAGATGAGTCTCTATTGTCTCCTTGTTTCCTCAGAGCTAGTCTTGTTATCTAGGCCATACCAAAGTAGATCAGCTGAACCTGACAGTGACCCCGGGACTGGCTAGGGAGCCTCACTATCTGCTACCAGGATGCTGTGTCTTCTTACCGGAAACCACTTTTATTCCTCAGCAAGCCCCCGCCCCTCCAAGCTAGGGCAACCCTCTCATCTCTCCCCCCCCAGGCCCCCCATCCACCCCAAGCCAAGGATCTATCTCCCGAGAAACAGAACCAAGAGAGTATACACAGAAAGAGCCAGATGAGAGATGTCATGATGGGATGTGGAGACCGGGAATGGCCACCACGGGCTGGATGGGGGATCTCGTGGCTGGGCAAGGAAGTCTTCAGGACACAGGGTGACAAATGTCACCAGGAAATCACTGCTCACAGGCCAGAGAATCACACAGGACTCCCTTGAACAGAAAACCAAACTGCTGGGCTCCACTGAGAAGACAGATTTCCAGCTGAGAACGCCCCCTAGAGAGGTCACTCAGAGGGTCAGAGGGGCACCCTGGTCTATAAAGCGTGTGTGTGTGTGTGTGTGTGTGTGTGTGTGTGTGTGTGTGTGTGTGTTGTGTATGCTGGTGCACACATGTGCTGTATGAGCTGTTTCTGCTAACCAGCTGTGTGTTTTCAGTCACCTCTCTGTACTTTGGTTTGGTTTTATTCCACAACATGGGTTGTTCAACAATATTGACCTTGCAGGTTGGCAGTGTGCGTAGCATCCGGCTTATGGTAAAATGGAATCTGATTGTGACTGCTACCCTGTTTTTTTTTTTTTTTTTTATCATGGTCACCTCTCTGGGTCTCTGTTGGACTAACTGGTGCCATGGGGACCAGGGCATAGGTTCAGAGCCTCAAGTTTCTTCTGTTTTCTTGTTTATGAGGTTAGTGCTCTGCCACTTGAGCCATGCCTCCTGACCAGCTTTCAATCTGGAGGACTTTTTTGCACTGGCTGGCTTTGAACTCTTCCAGGTCTCAGCCTTCTGTGAAGCTAGGGTTTTAGGTGTGAGCCACTGATGCCCAGCTGCCTTTAAATTTTTTTTCTTTTTGTGCCTGTAATGGGGCTTGAATTTAGGGCCTATGCCCTCTCTGTTAGCATTTTCTGCTCTACCACTTGAGGTTAGTGCTCTACCACTTGAGCCACAACTCCACTTCCAGCTTGTTGGTGGTTAACTGGAGATGAGAGTCTCCTGACTCCCTTACCTGGGATGGCTTTGAACCTTGATCCTCAGATCTCAGCCTCCTGAGTAGTTAGGATTATAGGCATGAAACACTGGTACCCAGCTGTTTTAACTTTTAAAGTTTCTTCCTTTCTAAACTCTTGTTGGCGTCCTAGCTGGCTAGCTGTTTCTTGGCACTGAAGAGACGTGTCCATGAATGCTACTTGTTGAACCAGGGACTCAGAGGGGAGGTGGGGGGGGGATGTTTTGTTTCTTATGGGACTTGAGGGAGCCCCTCCCCCCAAACACAGTCCTCACCCACCTTAGCCCTGGCATCTTGAGGGGGGCAGGCAGAGAGAGGAGTGCTATAGTTGTGCAGTGGTTGATTTGGAAAATTCTAGCATTCTTGGGACAACCATCGTTATCAATGATAACTGTTGTTAGGGAAATGGAGGAGAAAGGAAGGAAACAGGCTGGACTCCATCTTCCAGGAGAGGACTGATCATTAAGACAGAGCGGCGAGGGGCACAGCCTTCCCGGGCTTGGGACAGGAGTTGGGTGTTTATGAGGTCTGAGCAAGGAGGCAGAGGTCAATGAAAATGCCATTGGGTCTAGGCAGGTGGGGGCTTTTCGGTTGGGCCCACAATGGGACGTTTACGGCCAGGCTCAGGTGGATTTCCCTGCCTGCGTCAGGCAGTCTGTGCCTATCTTTGGTGGCTTGCCTGACATCTCTGTGCACCTGGGAAATCAGGGCGGGGGCCGGTCCTTCAACTGTGACCATTCTCCAATTCTTGGACCATAACCACAGTTGTCTCCTGCTGAAGGCAAGAAGGCTAGGTTTCCAGTTAGAAGAGGTGGCCCTTCACCCTTATCTGTATAGCAAGCAATTCCTTCCTGGAATCCTGAGAAACAACGGAGCAGTTTCTCCTGTCCACGTGCATGGTGGAGCAATTCTTAATAAGACAGAAGTCTTGTCTTCCATGGAAATGATAGATAACATACAGATGTGTGGATGCTAGTGCTCTCTGATGTTAATCCTGGGGCTTGAACTCAGGGCTGAGTGCTGTCCCTTAGCTTTTTATTTTATTTTATTTTTTGCTTAAGGCTGCTGCTTTACCACGTGAGCCACAGTTTCACTTCTAGTTTTTTTTTTTTTTTTTTTGGTGGTTTATTGGAGATAAGAGTCTTGCAGACTTTTCTGCCTGGGCTGGCTTCCAACCTTAATCCTCAGATCTCAGCTTTCTGAGCTAGGATTACAGGTGTGAGCTACCAGCATCATCTCTGGGCCCTTCTTCAGAGGGATGCGGCAGCCTGAGGGGCACACTTTGTTCACGATGACCAGACTGTCAGCAAGGCCCATTCCTCAATGAGCTCCGGTTTAGACTTTGAAAGTCAGCTGGTCTGGCACCCAAGACCTGTTTTACACCTTGGCTCTCCACTTCCCAGATTGTGAAACTGAGTCTCTAGAATCCAGGATGCTTGGTTGTTTGGTGCAGGTTGAGTTCCTCCTTCCTCTAGTTTACTCAGCCCTGGGGTTATTTCCCTCTTCCGAGAGGGGGACTGAACACTGCCAGGTCTGGGATTGGCCCAGGGGATCACCTCAGCCCTGAGGTGAGTCACAGCGCTGTCACTGGCTAGGTTGCTGACAACACAGCTCAGGGCCCTGCCAGGGGGCCTCCAGGAGGCACAAGGTCAGGATCCAATTCACTTTACAACCCGGGTGTACAAGATGACCCAACACACGTTTTCTTCTTGTGGTGCATTTGTAAAGACGTCATCTGGCGTGCTTGGCCTTCCTGGAAATGCCTGGAAATTCCAGCAAAGCTGTCTCTAACTGGCTCTGAATCCAGCTGTTGGCTAACCAAAGTCTGCTTGGGGGCCTGCCAGCCTGCTCCAGCCCCAGGCTTCACCTGTCCAGCTTACATTTCTAAGCCGCTCGTCTCCAAACTTGACACATGGAAGATAGCTGTTTTTAAAAGGCTTCCCTTGAAGGAAGTAGGACCTGCTTCCTAGAGAGCTCACATGTGGGACGGGGGAACTGGGGGCTGCTTTCGTGGGCCCTGAAGTTTCCTTCATTTGTGGCAGATACAGTCCTTCTGTCTGCTCAGGAATTGCTCTAGCTGTCCACCCTGGCCATAGCCCAGGGGTCTTATCAACCTGGAAAACCTCGCCAGGCAGCCGCTCCAAGCTGCTACTGGAGCCAGCCAGACCTGACCTCCTCCATTGAATCTTCAGGGCCAGATGTTTTTGTGTGTATTGGAGTTTGATCTCCAGGCCTTGTGCTTGCTAAGCAGGTGCTTTACTGTTTGATCCACATCTCTAGTCTGTTTTACTGTTTTTCTTTTTTGTCCATCATGGGGCTTGAACTCAGGCTCAAGGCTGGCAAGGCTTGAGTTTTTTTTAGGCTAGCCACTTCTGGTTTTCTGATGGTTAATTGGAGATAAGATCTCATGGACTTTCATACTCAGGAGAACTTCTAGCTTGGAACTGCGATCCTCTGATCTCAGCCTCCTGAGTAGCTACGATTACAGGTGTGAGCCACTGGTGTCTGGGTTACTTTTGAAATAGGGTCTTTTTCCTGATCCAGCCTAGACCTTAGCTCACTTATTTTCCACATGCCTGGGATAACAGGCATGTACCACTGTACCTAGCCTTTGGAGTTGACATGAGGTCTGAGAACCTTTTGCCGGGGCTGGCTTTAAACAACAATCTTCCTGATGCCTGCTTCTAATATTATCCTGACTTTCCACTTCCCTTGGAGCAAACATACTCCTCACAGTCTGACCCCCATCTGTTCTCTCCCCCTCCTGTCCCTCAGTGTCTCCTGTCTGCTCTGCTCCTGTCCACTCCTGTCGTCCATTTTCCATATCCAGTGCTCAGGCTTCAAACGCTTCTAGGAATGACATGAGCAATAATAACCTTACCCCCTGTTTTGGCCTATGAGATCCTGCAATCACTCCAGCAGCCTGCCTCAGGACCTTGGCACTTGGCAGTCTTGTTGCTCCAGAAAGCTCTGTATCTTTGTATGCCTTGGGGCTTCTTGCCATACAGGGTCTCAATTTGATGACAATCTGATGTCAGTCTTATTTAAACCTTTGGGCATTATCTGCCCCCCTACTGCACAGTATAAGCTAACAGGGTCCAGGGGCCCCCTCTGATCATTGGGATAAGAGTGGACTAAGAGGGAGAAACTAACTGCAAGTAACAAAATGGTCAACAGGGCTGCACTTGGGGTCGAGATTGAGGGTGGGTGTCAGAAAGGTCACAGGTCAAGGTTGTGCCAAGATCCTTGAACAAGAAGAAGGATGAAAACATCGATCAGATCCCATTAACTCTTCTACCACCCACCGCCCCAGCCCTGCCAATGACCAGGCTGACCCTTACCAGGGGTGCTGCATGCCTGCCTAGCTCCCAAGGTATCCGTATAGAATGTCTTGTCTGGAATAGAAAACAGTGTGGAGAAAGAATCAGACATATAACCTAAAGGGGAAAGCTAAGGCAGGAGAGGCGTCCAACGCTGGACGGGCGCCTGCTTCTTCTAAGTCAAAGGGGACCTCCTTGGCCTGTGTCTTGGCGGCGCTGAAAGCGGCCGCGTCTGAGGCGCCTCCCGAGGCCCCCTGGCGCCACCCCGCGGGCCCCGCCCCTCCGGCCGGCCCCGCCCCGGCCCCGCCCCCGGCCCGCCCCGGCCCCGCCCCCGGCCCGCGCCGCGCTGACAGCGGTTGGCGCCGTGTTTGCCTACAAAGGCGGCCGGGAGCGCCGCGCCGCACCGAGCGGAGTCCGCGTTGCTGCGGGGTCGAGGCGGCGCCTGGCCCCACCGCACTCTCCGGGAAGTGCTTCCAGGAGGTAGGCGGAGGGCGGGTCCGGAGGCCCGCAGGCCCGGCCAGCATCCTGTGGGCCTTGCCGGAGCGCGCGGGGGCTGCTGGGACCCGGCGGGCCCCGGCGTGGGGGGCGCGGGGAGCCCCGGACCCCCCCCCCCCCCGCATAGCCCGGCCCGCCCCGACGGCAGCGGAGCCCCCTCCCACGGCGGAGCCCAAGGCGGAGCCCCGGGGCCGCGGGCGGGCGGGGTGGGCGCTCCCTCTGCAGGGGCCGACCCCCCCCAACTTCCCCCGAGAGTCAGGAGTGGGGAAGCCGAGGCCCGGGGAGGGGGCCTAGGGGCCTAAGGTCACCCGGGGTCTGAACCCTGGTCCTCCGGTGGCAGATCTGGGCCTGGCCCTCACCCGCACCTTCCCTGCGCCCTGGTGGGGGGGTGGGGGTGGGGGTGGGGGTGGGGGGGCTGTCAGCCCTCGCCCAGCTCCCCTCCCCCCCCCCCCCCCCCCCCCCCCGCACAGGGGTGTCTGCGGGGCAGGTCAGGGGTGTCCGGAGCCCGCGCGCCCTTGTCGGGGAGGGATGCCCGGGCAGCTGGCTGCTGGTCTGCCTGGTCAGTAATTGGAGTAAACAGATGGCCACCTTAGATTTGAACACCAAGCAGGAAACTCGGGCCAAAACAACTAGCCCCGCGTGGCTGGGAGAGTTGCCCACACCGGCGTCTTCCCCCAGGGTAGCAGAAGTCAGTGTCTTTTAAACCAGGGATTGGTGAGGTGGTGAGGATTAGAAAATTTACTGTTTATCCTTGGGGGGTGTTATGAATGAGAGAAACTCGGTGGAGTGCACAATAACTAGTAACTAGTAGTAACTGGTAACCTAGTAAATAGACTCCCCCCCCCCCCCCCCTTGGTGGTGGAAGGTCTGTTGGACTTAGGGTGTGTAGGTTGGTAGTGTGTGGATGGATGGTGATTTGTTTGGATTTGTGGTCACAGGGATTATTGTTTCTGCAGGAGTGCTGCCTCTGGCCTTTGTCCCTGTTTGTTTGTGTATGGGGCTGTGCGGGGTTGTGGAAGCCAGTAGTGGGCTTGGTCCTGTCTGGGCTGCCCTGCTGTGCAGTCCTGTCCTGTGCAAGGTCAGATGACAGCTGTCCACTTCATCTGCACTTGGAAAAGCAGCTGGCCGCAAGGAGTGTGGCTGAGTCTCATTGCATGGGTGGGAAGTTGGGTTCAGGGGACCAAGGTGGAGGCCCTGGTGATGGTGGTGGTGTGAGCCTGCCCTGGACAGGGCAGGGTGCCTTCAGGCTGAACCAGAAGGAAATCTTTGGGCCCTGCCTGCTGCCAGATCTGCGGACACGGGGCCAGAGGCAGGGAAGGTCAGGAGATGGCCAGATATTGCAAAAGAAGCAGCAGAGGACATTCTGGCCGAGTGAGAGGCCTGGCTGTATAGTCCAGCTGACCGCTTACAACTGGATGACAGGCCAGAGGCTTCAGTTCTCTGGGCCTCAATTTCCTCATTTGTGAAAGGAGGAGCAAATTGTTCCGAGCCATGAGTAGGGACTCTGAGGAGGGACTTGGAGCCGGCCAGGAGGGCTTTTTGAGTTTTTTGCTTGGTGGGGTTAGGGCAGTCCTGACCAATGCTGGCCCCTGATAGAATCTGACCCCTGCCTGCCTCCTGTTGCCCTCTTGTTCTGTGACTCAGCTCTTCTTGTTGTCTTTTCTCTCCTGAGTTCAAGGTCTGTAGGGACCTAAATGAGAGGCAATGATCTGGGTAAGGGCATGGAGTGGAGTGGGCTGGGAGGGTAGAGTGGTCAGGCCCTTGTTCCAGTAAGGCCTTATATGTGTGTATGGGCATGTTCACATGTGTGTGTGTGTGTGTGTGTGTGTGTGTGTGTATACACTCCAGAAGCTGTGGCTTAGAACATTTTGAGAAAGACCCAGAAGGGAGTGATGCAGCTGGGACATCAAGACTGTTGGTTTGACCTGCTTGCACTTGGTCTTGGTCAGTGCTAGCCAGGCTGGGGCCTGGGAGCTCAGGACGCTGGGAAGGGCGGCACCGCCCTCCTCATTGTGGGCGAGAGTTCCCAGCAAGCCCGAGTCACACTTTCTATCCTCTATGGAATCCCCATCTCATCCGTTTGCCAAGAAACCTACAGACTTCAAATCAGAAAGGGGCTCATGGCGGGGCAGAGGGGAGAAGGCGAAGGTGGTCCCCAAGGGCTTAATGGCAGGCTGTGTGAAGCGTTCACTTGTCAGCTCTGAGCCAGAGTGTAGAGTAGAAACGGCTTCCCCTTGGAGCCATACTTGATCCTGGAGATGAGGGGTCAGGAGCGTCGCCCCTTCCTCCAACATCTCCCCTCTTGCCTTTCTGTCTCCCTTGTTCTCCCCATGTTTTTCGGTAGACAAACCAAGCCGCAGCTGACACTGGCCTGGGCTGGTTGTGTTGCACTGGCTAGAATATTTTGGGAAAGTCAAAGGTATGGGCCAGTGTTTTCCATAGAGCAGCTTGTGACCCAGGGAGAGAAAAATCAGTGTAATTGACTGATAAGCATTTTTAAAATAAGTGACATAGAACAGAAAGTTCTAGAAAGTAGTAGAATAAATATAACATGCTGGTCTTCAGGTATTATTTTGTATGACTTTTGTGATTGTGTGTTTGTGTGTATGTGTATTCACACGTGTGCACAAGGTCTGGACTGAGGTTCCAGGGTTATGGTCTGATGACCTCCAGATTGACCTCTAGGGGTCTGGGAGCTGGGCTAGCAATTGGGCATCACCCTCTTCGCAGGGCACCCTTCAAAGGACCCATCTGCCCTGCAGAGCAGCAGGGTTTCCATGTGGGAGTTTTTCTTACTGAAAGCCCCAGACAGATAACATGTGACCAGATGTTGACAAAAGCCATGTAGCTCTTTGTGTTTGCAGAGCAGTCTGTGTGTGTGTGTGTGTGTGTGTGTGTAAGAGAGAGAAAGAGGGGGCAGGTAGAGAGTCGTGGGACTTGAACTCAGGCCTGGGCAGTGTCCCTGAGTTATTTTTGCTCAAGTCTAGTGCTCTACCATCTTCTGGTTTTCTGGTGGTTGATTGCAGAGCGTCTCATGGACTTTCCTCCCATGATCCTTAGATCTCAGCCTCCTGAGTAGGACTTACAGGTGTGAGCCACAGGCACCTGGCTCAGCCTTTTTTTACACCACACATTCAGATAGGCATGCTGGGACATGGACACCCCTGTAACTCCTGGCACTCAGGAGACTGAAGCAGGAAGAATCAAAAGTTCAAGTCCAGCCTGGGCTACATAATGAAACCCTGTCTTGTAAAACCCGAACAACGACAAGCAACACCCCCTCCCCAATAAACCCTCCCAAACACCATATGCATTTTATTCACCGACACCCCTCCAGAATTGGGATGCTTCTGAAGCCTTGCTCAGAGCAGGATGCACAGTGCCCGCCAGGGCTGCCCTGTTTCTCACCTCTGTCTTGTTGGGCGTGCATAATTTAAATACCATAAATCTATGCAGAATGTGCAGGTAGAGACTATCTTAAACTTTATTTTTTTAAAATTTAAATTTTGTTGTAAAGGTGATCACAGAGGAGTTACAGTTACCTAAGTCAGGTCATGAATATATTTCTTTTTGAGCAGTGTTACCCCCTCCCTCAATTTCTCCCACTTTCTCCCCTCCCGACTCCCCTTCCCGCCCAAGTTGTACAGTTCATTTCCAACATAGTGTCACTGTTGCATTGGTTCACACTTTGCCCCAGTGTTTCTGTGATTCCCCTTCCCTTCCCCAAATCAGATAAACTTATATTCAAGACAAAGGGTACAGAAATAAAGAGTGACAACAAGGAATAAACCAAAGAAAAAAGATGTAACTGCAAGCAGTACAATAAAACCTCCCACCTCTTTGTTTCCATTTCTTGGAGTTCTTTTCAATAAGCATCATTTTGTGTGGTCATACACACATAGCTATAGAACCATTGGGACCCTCTCCTAAGGACATCCTCCTTTAGTTCTGGTTAAAGGAGGGCTGTTCAGTTAATCATGTCCAAGGGTAATTATTTGTCTTTTACTATCCATTGGATTAACTTGGACCTTAAGTTTTAGTCTGGAGCCTTTTGTGACCACATGGCCAGCACACGGCCAGCGCGTGGCCCTGGCTTGACGGAAGCAGTTTGTGAAGGACATCATGTGTACTGGCTCACGCTGGTCCTGTGTGGTGGGCACCTGTTTTACAGATAGCAGAAGTGAGGTGCAGACAGGTTGTAACCTACCCAGGCTGTGAGCGCAGTGGGAGGAGGCCCTGGAACCCAACCACAGGTGGCCTTGGCCACCTCTGAGCCCTGTCCACTTGCCCAGGTGATGTGGCCCGGTGTGCCGGAGGGTGTGCCATGCAGAAGAGAAGTCGCAAGAGCCAGACACCCTGAGGCAGGGTCCTTGCCAGCGTGGACACTGCATGCCACTGGAGAGGCCCGTCCTTGTCCCAAAGACACGGGCCTCAGCTGGCTGGTCGCGGCGTCTTCCTCGTCACCAGCCCTGCTGCCCAGGCCCTTTGTGCCCCTTGGCGGGCGCCTGAGGACTCAGGGCCTGGGCTTGCTTCTTGCAAAACTCAGTGCCGGGGAGCTGGCCAGTGCCTCCTGCCAGCCCACGAGGTCTCTGCCTCTTCTGCTCAGTGGTTTCCGGGGGAGCAACACAGGTATGGACCCAAAGGGTTCCCTTCCTGCCTGCCGCAGCGGGGAGCTCCCAGGATTTGGTTCAGTATGGAAGTCATTATTACATGATACAAGTTTTGACTTCTTGTGATATATACTTGTTTCTATTCAGGGAGCTTTTGGGGGAATGGTGCTAGGATTTGAACTCAGGACCTCTTGCTTATCAGGCAGATGCTCTGCCACTTGAGCTGTATTTCCAGGCCTTTTTTTCTCTGGTGGTTTAGAGATTGGGGCTTCCTTCTGAGAGTGTGTATGAGCCTCAGTCTGCCTACTTTAGGATCTGTACCATTGCTGGGATGACAGGCATGCACCACGGGGTCCAGATTCCCTCTGAAGAGCTGGAGTCTGTCTGGTGAGCCGGCCTGGAATCTCCGCCTTCCATGTAGCCTGGGATGGCAGTGATGAGTCACTGTGCCTGGCTGTGGGTTGAAGAGGGGGTCTCGTGGGCTTTTCTACCTGGGCTGGCCTTGATTGTCACATGGGGCCAGGGTCTCCTCAGACAGGAGTTAGTGGGCAGATGTGTTTGTTTCTCTAGTCCCACTCAGAAAGCAGCATTTCCTGGCCGCTCATGAAACTAGGAGAAAGCTGCTGGTGGTTTTGGATACAATGCAGAATTGTCTAGGGTGTCAGCATGCTCCTTGGCTTTGACTCCCCAGTGCTGTCCTTTCTGGAGCTGGCTGAGGAGGGCCAGGGCTTCTGAGCCTCTGCCAAAGGCCTGGAGTTGGTTGTGGGCTTAATTGGGGGCACCATCTCCTGCCAGGGGTGGGGCCTTGCCTTTCTCCTGCACTCCAGGAACTGCCAGCTTAAGTCCCACCTTTTTTTTGGGGGGGGGGCCTGAACTCTGGGCCTGGGCACTGTCCCTCAGCTCTTCAGCTCAAGGCTAGCCCTCTACCATTTGAGCCAGAGCGCCACTTCCGGCTTTTTTCTTTTTGCTTATGTGGTGCTGAGGAATCGAACCCAGGGCCTCAGGCATGCAAGGCAAGCGCTCTACCACTGAGCCACCTTCCCAGCCCCAAGTCCCACCTTTTTCTAGGAAGAACTTGGGTGTCCAGTGGTATCTGATGGGAAGTAATAACCTCATTCCACAAAGTCAGCCCAAAGATGCCACATTACAATGAGAGAGAGAGAGAGAGAGAGGAGAGAGAAAATGCATGTGCACACATGCCCACCTGTGGTACTCTCAGAATTTCTCTGTGAATCTCCAGTGTAGCTTAGAGATCCCAGTCTGGCTGAAAGGTTCTCATGAGATTTAGCTGAGATTTTAGGAATCTTTTGGCTTCCGGTTATTTATCTTCCCTCCTCCTGGCACCCCTTCCCCCCTTTTCTGCCAAACTTTGACTTTAAAAGCAATGGATTTAAAGATGATCTGGTGTGGGGTGAACTAGGAGGAGTAAAGCAGTTCACCAGGAAATGGAAGCATTTCAGTGCTTTCTTCTCTTTAGGTCTTAGCTTCTCCTGTTGACCTGAGGTTTTAAAGTACTTTCTCTTTACTACCCACAGTAGGCCTCCACCACCCCCACCCTGCCCCCACTGCGGGTTACAGGGTCACAAGTCCTCAAGGGAGAGAAAAACCAGGCAGTAAGAAGATTAGCAGGCCAAGAAGGGAAGTGTCTGGGCTGTTTTTCTCCGGCTTCTTATCTTCCTGTAAATCACACTAGCTGCTTCCTTGAGCCTGCTGAATTGCTTTTACTTCAAAAGCAATGGAAGGAAGTGACTTTTGGGAGTTTGCATCCAGCTGATTTAGTCTTGTGATCTCATTTAGTCTAGCTCAGCATTTCTATTTTTCTATTTTTCTTTGGCAGGACTGAGGTTTGATCTTCTAGCAAGGTGCTCTACCACTTGAGCCAGCTCCTCCACTTTTTTTTTTTTTTTTTTTTTACTATCTCTTCCCCTCTTTTCTGGGTAAAGTTGGTTAAATCTGTACCACCAGAAAACGGAAAATGTGTGTTGTGATATTTTGTGTGTGTGTGTGTGTGTGTGTGTGTGTGTGTTACTTATTAGCTTGGCAGGGGGAGTAACTGCTGTGGTTGGAAGGGAAGCTGGGTCTTTGCACCCCAAATGTTCTAGAAGGTCTACTGCCATCCACAGTGGAGGGAAGGGATCCATGTGTCTCCCTTAGAGTTTTAAAGTGCACCAGCTAGGGGAGCTTGGCCCATGTGTCTGCAGGTATAGCTCAGCACTCTTAGGCCTCTGGCCTGTTGTATGGTTTAGTGTTCAGCTAGCAGCTCCTTGACTCTGCAGAGGGGCTGTGTCCTGCTGCTCAGGGCTTGCAGGCCCTCTCCCAGCACCAAGCCTTCTCTTCAGGGTTTTTATGGGGGCTTCTGAGCAGCATGATTGGTTACTGACTTTTGGTGATTGACCTCAATTCTAGCCAATCTCCTTTTTCTTAGTTGCCAAAAGTACCTTGGGATAATATGATTGGTTCTTCTGGACCAACTCCTCTCTAGAAGTCACCTCATTAACATAGGCTCAGGTGCTGTGGGAAGGGGCTTGTTAGGTGGTTCCCTGGCAGCAGCAAGGGATGTGGAGTGGGAAAAAGGGCCAGGTGTGGGGCTGGGTGGGAAGAGGGTGGGCAAGTCCTTCGGCCGAGGTGGTATTGGAGCGGCAGCGTCAGGCCAGGTAGGGCTGGTGCCCTGTATGTTGGCAGAGGACAGTGAGGGACTGGTTGGACAGGATGAATGGAGGCAGAACTTACAGGCTGGAGAACAAGGATCTGGACAGAGCTCTTACAAATCAAGCTACTCGCTTTCCCAGTAACTCATGTTCCGTACTGACCCTGGCCTGGTAGGGATATAGCAAGCTAAGCTCCTTTCTCAAGAGCCTTCAGATAATTGTACACAGTGACAGAGAGTGAGGCTCAGGTGACAGCAGCTGTAAGGAACAACCCAAACGAGTTCCAGGAGGTCAGCAAGACAGACCAGAGCCTGGTCACACCTGTTTTTAGGCTTCCTAGGATTAGGATTGGGTGTGCTGGCCCTACCAGGCTAGGGGTGGCTGGCCTTGTTGATGGGGGTTGGGGGCGGTGGGCTGTGGTGGTGGCTGTCGTAGAGAACATTCTAGAAAACAAGGTGATCTGAGCCAGTATGGACGCGGAACGTGGGACCTGTTCTTGACGTGTGTGTGTGGGGTCCTGGTTGGCTCTGGGCGGCTCTCCAGTTAACTGCTGGTGTGTGCATGTGCGTCTGTCTTTTCCCAGGCCCAGACCATGAATTACGTGGGGCAGCTGGCCGGCCAGGTGTTTGTGACCGTGAAGGAACTCTACAAGGGGCTGAACCCTGCCACGCTGTCGGGATGCATCGACATCATCGTCATCCGCCAGCCCAACGGGAGCCTGCAGTGCTCCCCCTTCCACGTGCGCTTTGGGAAGATGGGGGTCCTGCGCTCCCGGGAGAAAGTGGTGAGGCGGGGCCTGGTGCCTAGGCTCACCATCTCTCTGTGGTGTGTCTTTGCTTTCGCCTGTCCTAAGCTGCTTGACCCACATTCCTAGCGCTCCATTGGAAGTGGTGGACAGTTAATAATTTACACAGTTCCAGTGACCTTGGCTGTGCTGGTCGACCACTCTAAGTTGTTGTGCATACGCTGGCTGTCAATCAAGGCCTGGATCCCGGGATGGTTCATTACAGCTCTCTACGACCTGGGGGCCTTCACTGGAAGACTCAGGGCTGGAGGCTGGGATCACGGCACACTCCCTGTCTCCATGTCTAGCACTGGTTCTGGCTCTTGGCTGTGCTCTTAGCCAACGCTGTTGGCCAGAGCCCCTCCTTGGGTGTTGGGCTCCCTTACAGCATGGCGGCCGGTTGTGAGCTACAGAGCCGGTGGAGGCTGTGTTCTCATGACCCCGCCTTGGAAGCCTTGTGGGTCACTTCCATTGCACCTTACTGATTGGGTACAGCAGGCTCACGGAGAAGAGCTGCATGCTTCCCTACTGATGGCAGGGGCAGGGCTCTGGAAGGGCATGTAAAGGACCCAAAATTCTGATGTGGCCATTTTTGGGGAAGATTATAGGCCACACAGATGGCAAGAAATCCTTAAAACTAGGTCAACCATTTCACATCCCTCCTTAATGTGGAACTGAAATTATGCTTTACCATCATCATTATTATTTTGGTAGTGCTGAGCCATGCTGCTAACCCTGGTTCTTTTTTTTTTTTGTTGTTGTTGTTGTGGTACTGTGGTTTTGAAATGAAAGTCTTGTACTTACAGTGAAAACTCTCCCATTTGAGCCATACTCCCAGTCTTTTCGTCTAGTTTATTGTTCATACGGGGTTTTGAGCTTTTTCCTGGGGCTGTCTCTGGACTAAGATTCTCCTACCTCTGCCTTGGGATTAGCTAGGGTGACAGGCATGTGGCACCATGCCTGTGGTATAATTGGTTTTAAGTTGAAGCGAATGATGTTGGCTGAAAGTATTTTAAGGATTCCAACCTCTAGCAGACAAAAGTTCCAGGGTGTCAAAGGCTGGGCAGGGGAGGTGTTCACTGCAGTGTGAACCTGACCTTTACTACCTGCTGAGCCATTCTCCTGTGCTGGGCCCTCAGCTGAAAAAGGGAGGAGCCCATGGCGTATGGAGGGCTTTTCCATCCTGGGATCCACCCTTCTTGGTCAGGACTGCAGCTGTACCTTGTGTGCAGGGTGCTTGCCATTGAGGGGGTTGGCTGAGATTTGGAGCTCTGGGTGGGGCCAGAGCGAGTGTGGAAAGGCTTGGCCTGCCCTTGATGGCTCCCGAGGTGGCGAGGAGGCTCACTGTGTCCTTTGCGTCTCCTTCAGGTGGACATAGAAATCAACGGGGAGTCGGTGGACTTGCACATGAAGCTGGGAGACAACGGGGAAGCGTTTTTTGTGCAGGAGACTGATAGCGACCAGGTGAGGATGTGGAGGCCGCTGCGGGCGCCCGTGGCCCGGGCTCGCTCGCGTTTCCTTCTTTATAACACAAATTTGTTTTTTAAAATTTAATTTTACCTTTAAGGAGTTGTAGATAGGGGCTTCAGGTCAACATGTCAGTTTGTGAGTACAGTGCATCTCCATAAATGCCAGCGATGATGTCATTTGCAGGGAAATGGGTGGACCTGGAGCAATTCACCTTCATTGAAGTCAGTTAGGCTTAGAGAGAGACAAAAGACACGTGTTTTTTTTTCTCCTATGGAAGTTAGATCTAAATGATAAATATATCTAAACCTACCCAGAGTCATATGTCTATGTATGCAAACTCACTGAAGTATGATAGACACGGGGAATTCCTATGGTGAAAGTCCTTTGAACAACTGACATAGAGTTTAACAACATAAGAGTTTATCAGGAAGCTGAGATTTGTGTTTTGGGGAGGGAGGGGAGAGGTCAAAGAGAGAGGAAGCAGACGAATTGAGAGAGGAAGGGTGGGTGAAATTGTCACAATATTCGGTGCCCAGATGTGCAAATGGAGCCAGGTAAACTGAGGGGATGGTGGGGCGGGGAGGGCAGGGAGAACCGCAGGGGGGTTTGAGCTGTAGCAGTGGTTCCTGAGCACATGGCAGGCAGGGATTTGTGTGGAGAGGTAACCGTGGCTCCCCTTTCTCCGTGGGAGGGACTGAGCAGGTCAGGCTGTCAGGGATCTGAGTGCACACAGACCCAGCACCTGGCCGGCTTCAGGCTCCTCGCCGTTTCCACAGAGATGAAGGGTAACGGTGGGCATTCCACCTTGGCCCAAACCATTGTCAAAGCAGGATGAAACCAGTACATCAAATATCACATGGCCCAGTGTCTTAGTTTTTCCTTAGTGATTGCCCCAACCTCTTTCTTTTCTCTTCATTTTTCTTTTCCTTTGCTATTGTAGAGTGCTAGCCCTGAGTGACAAAGCTCAGGGCAGCGCCCAGGCCCTGAGTTCAAGCACGCATGCACACACACATACATAGGGAATGGCTCTCAGTGGGGGTCCAGGACTCTAGGTTGTGGTGACAGCGACAGGGCAGTGGCAGCGCTGTGGCCCCCAGTAGTGTTGGGCTCCAGGGGTCCCCGAGGGCCTTGGCGTTGCTGGCTCTCCTGCGCCCCACTTCACGAGGCTCTTGGAAATGCTGCCCTTTGCTTTAGGAGGTGATCCCCATGTACCTGGCCACCTCCCCCATCCTGTCAGAAGGGGTGTCGCGGATGGAGTGCCAGCTGAAAAGAAACTCGGTGGACAGAGTCAGGAGCCTGGACTCCACCACGCCCTCCCAGAGCTTGGCCACCAGTGAGACCCCGTCCAGCTGCTCACTGGTAAAGAAGAGAAGGAAGAGGAGGCGGAAGTCCCAGCTGGACAGCCTGAAAAGAGATGACAGCAGCCACACGTCGGAGGACGAGGACATGTTTCCCATAGAGATGAGCTCCGACGAGGACACGGGGACCCTGGATGGCAGCAGGTGCATGTTGGGGGCCCGCAGCAGGGCCTGCAGGGGGTTGGATGAATTACATTCCCCCTCTATTTTTTGCTGGTTCTGGGGTTTGAATTTAGGACTTCAGACTCATTCTCCTGGCGCTCCACTACTTGAGCTACGCCTCCAGCCTCACTCTTTGTTGGTTATTTGGGAGTCTTGCTGAATTTCTTACCCAGGCTAGCTTTGAACTGTGATCCTCTGGATCTCAGCCTCTCACGTAGCTAGGATTACAGGCCTGAGTCATCAGTGCCCTGTGATCTTTTCTCAGTAACGTGAAGAATATCCCTCGGCTTTGTTATTGATCATCTAATGTATTTATTTCTGGATGAAAACAGCGATGGATGGGCACAGCATTGGCCTGCCCACCTCCAGCCCTCTCCACTGAGGCTCAGAAGCAGGCCAGCTAGACTTGTTGCACTGACTCTCCCGCCATGGCTGATGGTCCAGAACATGGCATTTCAGGCAGCATAGAAAGTACAGACAGTGGCCTGGGCAGGGGTGGAATGGAGTATTGTGTGGTGTGCTTGCACCTGAAGCTAGCAGTTGGTCAGACACTTTGTAATCAAGAGACGCTTACCCGGTGCCATTTCTTTTGCCAGACAGCACACAGTCTGCACGTGGCCATTCATTTATTCAGCAGCTCCTTCTATACACGCACCCCGCTGGGTCAGCTTTGGGCGGAGCTACCTCTCAAAGCCCTTGTGAGTTGAACTATGCAAGGCAACAGTAAGATACCCTAGTGGAAGCCAGGTCTAGTGATGTAGACCTGTAATCCCAGACCCTGGGAAGGGGAGGCAGGAAGATCACGACTTGGGGGCCAGCCCGGGCAAGTTAGGGAGACCCCATCTTAAAATGAAAGAGAGAAAGGACTGGGAGGCAGCTCCGTGGTGGGAGGCTTGACCGATGTGTCCAAGGCCCTGACCCTCTCCAGTCCCACCAGAGCGCGTTAGGTTCATAACCTAGCCGGAGTACAAAGGCACGGGCGTGTTTCCGCGGGCTTGCCTTTCCCGTCTGCGCGCCTGGCCTCTGCTCGGGGGTCACGCAGCCAACAGAACAGTCAAGAAAAAGAAATCAGAACTCGACTTCAGTAAGATTCTAGCACAAGTCCTTCTTTGGCTTTAACCTTTTCTTATTCTTTTTCTTCAGAACTCTTCATACTGACACACTGCCATTCCAAGACGATATTCCTAAGAAGAACCTTCCCTGTGTCTCCCCGTACCCCCAGTCAGCGTCGTACCCCAGTTCTGATAGAGAGTGGTCCCCCAACCCCAGGTGAGTTGCTGGCGTGTGTGTGCACCTGTCCTGCTCCAGTGAGTTACAAGTCCGTTGGAGGAATGGAAAAAAGAGAAGTAGGGGTTAAAAAAAATAATTAGGACCAGCAAAACTGCAGAAGAGCAAAACTGACGGGACCACAGAATTCCATCTGAGCTCCCTCGGCCAGGACGGGAGGGAAAGGCTCTGCCCCGGCTACCTGATGCTGAACGCCAGCCCAGGACGGGGTGGTGGAGCCTTTCTCAGTCCAGCCCTAGCGCAGGGCTTGAAAGCCAAGGCCGAGCTTCAGGCTGCCTTCCCCAGGCTTGAGCCATGGTGCCGAGTTCAAAAAATAGTAACACTTCTCTGCAGTGTACTTGCCAGGTGCCCCCTGCTGGCCGGTGTGAACTTACAGCGAGGCAGCCGGCGTGTAGATGGCTCCCCAGGCCTGGGCAGGCATCTGTCTGTGTGTGTGCTCACAGGGATACCACCTCTGTTGGAGTGGCACACGAATCCTGGACATTATAATGGCTGGGGGCCACCGAAGGCCCACAGCAGTAAAACGTCCTGGTCAGCAGGGGAGTGGGAAGTGACTGGGCCCTGGCCAGTCTCATCAGAATACCCTTCTTGATTCTAGTTTGCTCAGGGTGATCATCAGAGGGACACAGCAGCAGTGCAGGAGTGGGGGAGCTGGGTTTCGGGGCTGCAGGTGTGTCCCACACCCAGCTCTAGCTGAGTGGAGGATGAGCCTGGGCCCAGCGATGGAGTCGCTCTGTGATGGTCAGCCTGCCTCAGAGACTAGCCCTGACCACTAGGACCCAGTGCTTAGCTTTATGTATGACTTCACATGCCCTACTACTTCATTTAAAAAATAAAGAGAAAAAAAGGTGAAACTTCATTTCATTCTATGTATCTGAAATATTAAATAAGTAATTCAGGTTACAGTGATTACTGATATCGTTCACAGTTTTCATGCCAGGTCTTTAAAATGAACGCTGTGCACATATCTCCACAGAGACAGACACATTTGTAAAGCTCAGCGGGACATAGAGCCTGTAACTTGGTATAGGAGACAGTGCCCATTGAATACTGTTCTAGAATCTCCTGATCTTGACCTGGGTCTGTTGAGAAAGTCCCCATGGTGAGAAAGCAGAGGGAAAAAACAATGCAGAATATTTAGAAACCATTAATAGGTTGAAGAATCTCCATATTAACCTTAAGAATTTCAAAGGCCTGTTTAATACACTTCCCCAAGTATTTTTTTCCCTTTGCTCTGGGAATCCAGAATAACAATGGTGTCAGGTTTTGTAGATGAGAAGCATTGTGAAATGCAATGACCAATTAGGATAAGTGGTACATTGCCATGCTCAGAATGATGGATTTTCTTAAAAGAGACAATAGCAGTCCAGACAGTCACATCGTTGGAAAATGACTGTAGTTCTATGCAGTACTGATCTATGACCATTAACTCTGGTCTGGTCACGTGGGTGGTGTGGGAAGCAAAATGGGTTTTTCCGTAGTTTCTCTCCTGTTTTTTTTTTTTGTGATACAGAAAGCTCATACTATTGCCTTAGAGATTTCAACAGAGCCCTCTGCCATCAGATGTCTGGATATTTTCATTTTCTCAAAAATGTTATGACAGGAGCCAAAGACCAGCTTAGGCATTTCATCCCGCTGACCTGTGATCTCTTTTTCTTTCTTTCCAATGTGTATCCAGCAGCCCGGTAGATTGCAAAAGGACCCCCCCTCATCTTGTGGTCGCAGCCGAGGGAGTTCTGTCTAGTTCTTGCCCGCCACAGTCCTCTCATTTCCATGCTTCGGAAAGGTAGACGAGTGTGTTTTCAGTAACACAGAATGTGAACTAACTCCTAGATGATGGACTATTTTACCATTAACCAAATAATTTATAATGATGATTTGAAATAGAATTTTTCATCTAACTCGTACAAATCCATTTTGCCAACTAACCAACTTATGATGAAAATATATAGAATATTATTTCCCTTTTTGTTTCTAATATTTATAGATTATTAGATTAAATAGTCTTTAAGTTCTAAATCTGGCTCTCTGGAAACGATGGTTATCATTCTAGCTAATTCTGTAGAGTGCCTTGAACACCAAAAGAATGAGATATTCACCTTGACAATCTGCTCTTTTGTCTGACCAAATAAGTCTCCAAGATATTTTTAGGATGCTGATTTAGTATAAGCCAAGTTACTTATAAATATTTAAGTAGTCTATTAGGCGATCTGAATAATGGATTCAGACCTTTTGCACACCATTTTTGGAACAAAACTGCTGTTGGATCTTAGGAATACAGGTTGGAGTTTTCATTGGATGCTTTCATTCCTTTCTGTAGTCCATGCAGCGACCTCCCTCCTGCAGACCTCCATGCTTTGTTTATGGCATAAGCTATTAGCCAAGGAAGCTGTGTGTGACTTACTCATTCTGTTTTCTTGTTTTTGTGGTAGTACTGGGGCTTAAACTCAGCGCCTCAGTCTCTCACTTGGCTTTTTCTGCCAGAAGACTAGCACTTTACCACTTGAGCCACATCTCTACTTGTGGCTTTGTGCTAGTTAATTGGAGGTAAGAGCCTCACAGACTTTCCTGCCCAGGTTGGCTTTGAACTTCTCCCTGTGTTCATCTGTAGTTGGCCTGGCATCCCTCAGGTGCCAGATGCTAAATGGCCATGTGTGTTTGTGCCTGGGGGCAGGATTGATTTTGGTGGCACATTGAGAGGAGAGTTTCTGGTGTAAGATCTGCACACAAGGCAGCTTCTTCCTGAGTGCCAGCTTATAAACCTGAGTGCTCAGGAGTCTCTCCCTTGTGACTGTCACAAAAGGGCCAGAAAGTTCATGACTCTGGAGCTGGGAGGTGCAGCAGAGAACTGTGCTCAGCACTTTTATTCTGGAGCTGCAGTTGTTGAGCGTGGCCCTGGGACTGACCTGGCTTGTGCTCTGCTTTTGTGCAGCTTTGCTGGAGCCTGGCCAGTCCCATTACACAGCTGCAGTGGCTCTTTTGTGCTGTGAGGGCAGAATCGAGTAGCCAAGTGACCACTGAGGGCCATCTGACCCACACAGCCATTATCTCCGAGCTCTGGCAGAAACGATGTGCCAACCCTTGAAGCTCTCCCGAAGAGTCTCAGTGAATTTAGTGGCGGTGGCTGGGACAGATAGAGGTGTGCACTGGCGCTGGGTAAAGGGGCAGCGTGGGCAGGGAGGCATTTGAAGGGCCTTGGAGGTGCTGGGGGAGACGTTGAGGGCACAGTGCGTGACTTCCTTTCCCTGCTCCACTGGCATTGAACTTGTGATTGTGGATGTGGCACCTAGGAACAGTCCTTCCTGTGGAGGAAAGCATCGTAGAAGAAGAGAGGGAGCCAGGAAGGCTGGGAGACAGGGAGCCCCAGCATCAGGCCTGGGGAGACACGCTCAGTGTAGCTTGACCAGAGCCAGGGCCGGTTGAGCCACAAGGGAGCCCCGAGGGATCCCCTCAGGTGGGTGCACGTCATGCGCAGCCCTGAGCTCCCCGCGTGCCCACAGCAAAGCTCGAGCCTTCGGTTGGGATGAATGAGGCCACACGCACTGATGGGAGGTTGCCTGACAGATACAGTCTGTGAGAGGTGTGGATGAAAATTATGCTGTTTCTTGCTTATGGAGAAGCACTGCCCTCTTTCAAGGAGAAAACGTGGGAGATGACAGATAATCGAATGGCATTTTCTCTTCCTTGGAAGTGTTGGGATTTGAACTCTAGGACTTGTGGTTGCTAGCCGGGCACTCTACCCACTGAGCCACGCCCCCAGCCCTTTCTTGCACTGGTTATTTCTGAGGTAGTCTGGGTTCCTGCCTGAGTGCGTTCCTGGCCCCAAAGCTAGGATTGTAGGCATGTGCTCCCTTGTGTTCAGCAGTTGAGGAGGGGATCTTACCAAGTCCCCTCCTTCCCCCCTCAGGCCAGCTTCACCTTTGATCCTCCCTTTCTCAGCCTCCCAAGTAGCTAGGATTATAAACACAAGCCACCAGTTCCAGTTTAAATGGTGTTGTCTTTCTGTCTAGATGTTAATTGATTCTTCGGCCAGTTAGTTTGGCTGCACAGCAGTAAGATTTTGTGAAGGTCTCCGGAGCACACATATAGCAAGCAGAGAGTAAGAAGGTGATGCACCATTTAGAAGCTGGCCTCAAAGTGGCATGATGCCACTGTCCCCACAGAGTTGGGCCTTTGAGAATGCAGGGTCTCTGAAGGATTCCCAGAATACTCAGCGGCTTATAAGATGTCAGTCTGGGTACCCCTGGCATGCCGGCCAGTGTATGTCTAGTAAAGTCGGTATATGGTACTGTGTTGCTGTTTCCAAAGCTAGTGCAGATTTGTAAATATTTAAATCATGGGATATAATGTTGCCTGCCAGGACCCTGCGTGGCTGCCTGACAGTTGGGATGCATCTTGTGCCAGTCGAGGGCTCAGCTCAGGGTGAGCCGATTGTGTGTATGCTGGTCCTGGAGCTTGAACTCAGGGCCTGGGTATTGTCCCTTACCTCAAAGCTGGCATTCTACCACTTGAACCATACCTCCACTTTCAGCTTTTTGGTGCTATTATAATAGGAATAGGATAGGAATTTCACAGACTTTTCTTCCTGGGCTGGCAACAAATTATGATCCTCAGATCTCAGATCCTCAGAGTAACTAGATTACAGGCATGTATTTTTCCTCTGTCTGTCTGTCTGTCTCTTTTCTAGATGCTGCATTTCTTATCTTGTCTCTCCTGAATTGGGCAGTCATTTGTTTTTGGTCACCCACATTTTGGGAACATCTTCCTCCTGGAAGCCAGGTGCATGGACCCCTGGTGGCCAAAGGAGGGATTGCCCCAAGGCTGTGCTCCCAAGGGGCTGGCATCTAGGTGTATTTTCTGGGTTATCTGAACCCTGGATTTGGGTCAAAGACAAGGAAAGAGTTTCTTTCCTCACTTACATTGTGAGTTTGTGTTTTCTTAAGTCCCTCAGGGTCCCGACCCTCAACCCCCAAAAGCGACTCAGAATTGGTCAGCAAGTCCACGGACAGGCCCATGCAGAAGAACAACCTAGAAATGCTGTGGCTTTGGGGAGAATTGCCACAGGCTGCAAAGGTGAGTCCTTCCTCACGTCTGCCATGCACAATGATCTCCACATTAGCCAGATCCAGCTTTCTGCTGGTTACCTGGAGATGAGAGTTCCATGGGCTTTCTGCCCGTGTTGGTTTTGAACCGTCTTCCTCAGATCTCAGCCTCCTGAGGATCTGGGATTACAGGCCCGAGCCACTGGCACACCTGGCTCACTCATAAATCAGTCTTACTTTTGATTGAGTGAATTGTTTTCCATAACTGGAAATCCCTATAGGTGTGGTCAGTTGTCATCTCTGTGAATGAGTTACCACCATTGGGGGCTAATTCACTGAAGCATAGTGCATAGAGAGGCATGTTGGATCCTGAGTGAGTAGCATAGCTGAGATTTCACGTGTCCACGCAGCTTGCCTGCAGATGGACACAGGCAGGGCGTGGTCAGCTGCGTTGGGGCCAGTCTCTGCAGTTGCCACCACCTTGGCTTGCTGGACAATCAGAGGGGATTTTATAGACTGTCTTCACGTTACCACAAGGCCTTGAACTCAAGGCCTTGTATTGCTGGGCAGGCACTCTACCACTTGGGCCACACTGTCAGCCATTTTTGTGTGGTTTGAGAAAAGGTCTCACTGTATGCTCAGGCTGGGCTAGACTCCTATTTGGACTTGAATGGTAGGTGTTCCCTACTGAGCCCAGCCTTATGTCCCTTCCCCCCTCAGCTGGATAGGACAACTGTATAGCACCATGCCCAGCCACTGGTGAGAGGGAGTCTCTCAGATTCCCCCTACCCTTCTCCAGGATTACAGGCTTGAGTCACCCTGGCTGGCTAATGAATTTTTTCTTATTGATGTGACTACACCATTATGATAACACTTCCTGTTCTACTGAGCCCTTGACATTGCCTGCACTTGCCGCTATTTGCCTCACTTCTGTTTGGTAGTTGATGTTCTATGTGAAACCTCATTTACTTTGGAATTAGTACTTTGGCTTCGGACTTCTGGGCATGCATGAAAAACAACAGGTGGTCCTTAGGTTGAAAAGTCTCTGCCATGCATTATTCATTGACCACATTTCTTTGGTAGCTCTCTTTACCTGTGTGCTTGGACTTTATCCTTGAGATAAAGTCCTCACCCCAGTTAGAATGGCTATAATCAAGAAATCTAGTAACAACAGATGCTGGAGGGGATGTGACCAAAAGGGAACCATACTGCATTGATGGTGGGAGTGTAAACTTGTTCAACCACTTTGGAAAGCAGTATGGAGGTTCCTCAAAAGACTCCACATAGAACTCCTTTATGACCCAGCAATCCCACTTTTGTACATTTACCCAAATGATCACAAACAAGACCACACTAAAGCTATCAGCACAACTATGTTTATTGCAGCATTATTCACCATAGCTAAGATATGGAATCAACCCAGATGCCTCTCAGTAGATGAATGGATGAAGAAAATGTGGTATATATACACAGTGGAATTCTATGCCTCCATTGGACTTTTTCTCGACTGTCTCTCTCTCTTCTTTGGTTTAGTCATCTTCTCCACACAAGATGAAAGAATCCAGCCCCTTGTGCAGCAGGAAAATTTGTGAGAAGACTCACTTCCAGGCCATTCACAGCGAGTCTTCAGATACCTTCAGTGACCAGTCCCCAACCTTAGTGGAAGCGCCACTCGCAGAGCCCAGCAAGCCTCCCATGGAAATGCAGTTTGTGTGTGAAGACGACCTGGAGGCTTTGGGAGCGGCCGCCCCGCCTCTACCTATGGCCGAAGAGCTCAAGTCCCCGGCTGCCAGCTCCATGCAGATGGGGGCCAAGATGGACTCTCCTTCTAGGAAGAAGGGTATGGGGCCCAGGCTTCCTTTCCAGCCCTCTTCCGGGGCAACCTATCCAGGCTCTGTGCATAGCAGAGTTCCTCCCTTCCTCCCCAGGTTCAAAGTCAGGGTTTCCTTCTCCTATGTGTTTGGGGCCAGAAGTGAGTCCAATTTTAGAATGCGTAGCCAGGGTTGTGAAATGCGCAAGCCATGCCTCGTTGCTTGGTGAAGTCACGCTCCATGCAGGGCCACACACACACACACACCTGTTCCCACTCTGGTTCTTGGGCCAGTTCTGCCCACAGTGCCCCGGGTCCTGGAGCTCTGAGTCCGCCGGGTTTCTGGCAGTGCTCTGACTGGATCGTTCACTCTTTCAGATAAACGGAGTAGACATCTAGGCGCCGACGGCGTCTACCTCGACGACCTCACGGACATGGATCCAGAAGTGGCAGCCCTGTATTTCCCCAAAAAGTAAAACTTCTCTCCGTTCTTCCTATTTTCTGTCCTGTGAGGATTAGTCTGCATGAGTCCAGTGTTCCCTGATTGTGAGACAGGACACAAAGGCAGTGTGGGGAACGGGATTGGCATTTGACTTCAGGAAGTCTCAGACACGCCCTTGAATCTGATGTGCCCATCGGTGTGTGGCCTAGGGCTGCCCAGAGCTCCGGATGGGAGCCCGGGCTCCAGGTTGTGCCCCATGACAAAACCCCAGGCTGGGTCACAGGTCAGTGGCCCATCAGCTGCCTGGGACATTTTCCTCTCTGGAGAGATTCTCGTGTGGTCCTTGGAGACCCCAGCCTGCGCCCCCTAGGATGGGCTGGGCCAGCACCCTGATGGGTAAGCGGTTGGAGCACTGCCTCGTCCGTGGTATGTCCTTCACGGTTTGTTTCAAAGGGATTGCAGAGTTGGAGGAGAAAGCAGGCCACCCATGATTGCGTTCTCTCCTGGGGTGAACTTACTTCACTGCGAACCTGTCCTGACATGAAATCATCTGCTCCTCCAGTGGTGGCAGCCTGGCAGAGGGTCACGTGATGTCACATGCGGTCTGAGGGTCCTGGTAGCGGATCACGTGACATGGGTCTGGGGCCTCAGGGATGGAAAAGGCCCCACAACAGCTCCTCCTTCCTCCTTCCAGCGGAGACCCCCCGGGGCTCGCCAAGCCTGCCAGCGACTGTGGAGTGCGGTCGGCCAACCAGTCCCCGCAGTCGGTGGGCAGCTCCGGCATTGACAGCGGCATGGAGAGCACCTCGGACGGGCTGAGGGACCTGCCCTCCATCGCCATCTCCCTCTGCGGGGGGCTCAGCGACCACCGGGAGATCACAAAAGGTACTGGCCCGAGCCTAAGGCGTGGCCAAGGAAAGAGGAAGGTGAGGAGGTCAGGGCCGGCCAGGCCCCGAGGATGCAGTGTAGGGCTGCCCCAGTCCTGTAGCCTCTGGCTTGGTCATTGAGGGGGGACGCTGTCCCCCACCCGTTCCCCCCAGGTGACAGTCTAAGCGGCCCAGCCGCCCACACCGCTCAAGCCTTACTTTGGACAGGACATTGATTTCCATTCACCTCCCTCTCCCTTCTTCACAACCCCTAGGAGGTGGGCGTGCCCCCCCCCCCCCCCCCCCCCCCCCCCCCCGGCTCAAACCCTGGCAGCCAGGGTTTGAGCTGATGGCGCTGATAGCCACTGCTCTGCCTCTGGACGTCCCAGTGCAGGGCACGTGGCCCCAAACGCGGCGCCCTGGGCTTGGTGCCAGCCTCACGCATGCTGCAGGCCCTTCATGGTACCTTTACCTGCATCGGCTGCACCTTTACATGCATCATCTGCACCGTTGGAATGTGTGAACTCTCAGGAAACGTTCAGGCGTGGGTGGAGTTGGCCTGCTTTTAACCACAGTGCCCTTGCTTTTCCCTTCACCCCTCCCATGGCCGTCGCAGACGCCTTTCTGGAGCAGGCCGTGTCGTACCAACAGTTTGTGGACAACCCCGCCATCATCGACGACCCCAACCTGGTGGTGAAGATCGGCAATAAGTAAGTGCCGTCGCAGGCTACCCCGCCACTGCTCCATACCCTTGGAATATACAGACGTAGGTGTTCAACCTCAGAACTATGTCAGATAGTCTCGTTATAAGCTCTTTGCCATTGGCTAATTCTGGGTTCCCTTGTCGCAGATGGCCTGAGGTGTCTGATTGTAATATACAGCTCTACTGAGGTTTTTTTCTTCATCCTTCCCCTTCCTCCCTCCTTCCCTTTCTCCCTCCTTCCCTCCCCCTCCCCACTTCCCCTCCCCTCTTCCCCTCCCTCTCTCCTCCTCCCTCCTTTCTCCCCCGTCCCCCTCCCTTTCCCCTCTCCTCTTCCCATCTCTCCTTTCTCCTCTCTCCTTTCCCCTCTCCCTTCTCTCCCTCCCCCTCCTTTTTCCCTCCCCCCTCCCCTCTCCTCCCTCTCCCTTCTCCTTCTTCCCTCTTTCCCTGCCCATCTTTCTTGGTCCCCTTTTACAGGAGCTTGAACTCAGGGCTTTGAGCTTTTGCTTGGCTTTTTCACTCAAGGCCACAGCTTCAGCCACAGCTCTACTTTTTTTGGCTTTTTGCTGGTTAATGGGCGATGAGCGTCTATGGACTTTCCTCTCCCCGCTAGCCTTGAGCTGCAGTTCTCTGATCTCAGCCTGCTGAGTAGCTAGGATTACAGTGCAGCACCCCTCTGTACTGGCTTTCAGATTGACCACATAAAGTGTGGTGCCTCGTCTGGGGGCTTTGTGCCCTGTGCTGTGCTGGGTATGCAGTGAAGCTGCCCCCTTAGAGCTGTCCTTATCTGAGGTCTGGAACTGCGTGTGTCTCGGTGGACAGGTGGCACACTTGCCTCCTGAGTGGAAGTCACGCTGGTGGAGTTGCCCTGTCCTTAAAGCATGGCAGGCAGTGCCACAGGTTGGCTCATGGCCTGGTGCTGGGGCTGCACAGGGGACTTGGCTGCCGTTCAGCTAGCATTGTGTGCAGTTGTCACTGTGTCCCTGCTGCCACCTCACCATGGCTTTTGGGGTTTGATGGTGGAGGGAGCCACACGGACGGAATGGGCAGGGCAAAGAGAAGTAGCAGCAGGGCGGGGCTCTGAGGGTCTCCTGGGGCCTCGGGGCTTTCTGTGAGTCTGTGGGAGACATCAGGAAGGTTTTCAGTGTGGGCTGTGGGCTTCTCACGTCTGTCTCGTTATTCCATCAGGTATTATAATTGGACAACAGCAGCGCCTCTGCTCCTGGCAATGCAAGCCTTCCAGAAACCTTTGCCAAAGGTGAGCTTTAACACGAGAAAGACTGGGGGGGGGGGAGGGGGGGAGGCGTGGGTAACTGGGAAGGGGGTGGGGGACGAGATTTAGCGTTCACTTTAGAAACCCCCAACTGAATTGCTCTGTGCTGACTTGAGCTTCGGGAATACTAATGTGGGGAGTTTTGGATCTGGAACGTCCTGCCCCCTCCTGGGTGCCAGGGCCAAACTCCCCCCTCAAGGCCTTGAGGACCAGGGAGCCTGTTCTCAGCATTGGCTGCACCGGATTATGAGTGGCTGTCAGAGCCACTGATCTCAGCCTGCTGAGTAGCTAGGAGGGATGGGCGCAGGGAGGGAGGGAGGGCTTTAGGAGACGAAGGTAACTTTGGGTGCAGCTCAACAGGATGCAGCCCTGTGCCTGATTCTGAGCCAAGAGAAGCACATACCCATAATTCCTTTGGCATGGAGTAGTGTGTGTGTGTGTGTGTGTGTGTGTGTGTGTGTGTGTGTGTGTGTGTATGCATGCATGCGCCAGTATTGAGGCTTCAACTCAGGCCTTACACTCTCTCTTGGCTTTTGCTCTCAAATGCTCTACGACTTCAGCCACACCTCCACTTCTGGCTTTTTTGCTGGTTAATTGGAGATAAGCCATTTTCTTGGCTTCTCATTTCCTGGTCATAACTGTATATGTCTGCTCAGGCTGGCTTTGAACCCCGATCCTCAGATCTCCCTTCCTGAGTAGCTTGGATTACACGTGTAAGCCACCAGCACCCAGTGGAATTGTAGGTTTTTGTTATAGAGACCCCCATCTTAGATTTGCTTCCTTGGTACACTTAGCCAGGGCTTGGTACCGCAGAAACTCTTGCCCAGAGTTGTATCATTTGTGGCTCTGAAAGGTCAAATCTGGCATCGTTGAGTCTGCGCTTGCTCCTTCAAGGCTGTGTCTGTTGTGATGTGGGGATGTTTGTTCTGCTGAGTGGATTTTGTTATGTCCTTGTCAGCTTCTTCCTGGTGTTTGTACCCTGGGATCTGTTTTCATATTATTTCTTAAGTCTTACAAATTAATAAGAAAAAGGAAGGGCAGTTGTAATAGAAATATAGTTTAAAAAGTTTATAGGAAAATACTCAAATGTAAGCTAGTCCTTTTGACAGGCACTGAACAGATTTAGTTAGTAGTATTTTTTCTTTTCTCTCTTTTCTCTCTTTCTTTCTTTCTCTCTTTCTCTCTCTCTTTCTTTCTTTCTTTCTTTCTTTCTTTCTTTCTTTCTTTCTTTCTTTCTTTCTTTCTTTCTTTCTTTCTTTCTTTCTTTCTTTCTTTTTCTCTCTCCCTCCCTCATCCCTCCCTCCCTTCCTGCCTTCCTGCCTTCTTTTTGTAGGGCTTGAACGCATTGCTCCTGAGGTCTTTTTGCTCAAGGCTAGCACTTTGAGCCACAGCCCCACTTTCAGTTTTTTGGTGCTTAATTGGAGATAAAAGTCTCGTGGGCTGGCTTTGAACTATGATACTCAGATCTCAGCCCCCTGAGTAATAATATTATACAGGTGTGAACCACTGGAGCCCGGCTGTTTCTTTTTCTTCATTTTCTTTCTATTTATGGTGTTTATCTAGTTTAGAAATTATTTTCATATGTAGAATTATCTTTTCTCTGTTGGGTTTTGTGTATACTTAGAATGATCTTGTTTCGCCATTTCTAAAACCTGTGGAAATATTCCCTGTATTTTCTTCATGTGCTTTGTTTTACTTTAAATCTTTGATCCAACTATAATTCTTTGGAGAGTAATAAGAGGATTTCCCCAGATGCTTATTGAACCAGGGCACTTTGGACTGCAGAAAACAATGATTAGACATGACTTAAATACTATGTATTTATTATCTGCTATGACAGGAATCTTAGAGGTTGCTCTGTTGGGGCTTGATGAATTCTCTGTGATTTTTCTTGGCTTTTCATTTCCTGGTCATAAATGACAGCTTTGCATGTTGTCTCCTTACACAACCATATCCAGAGTGGGAAGAAGGGGGCAGATTCCTGACATTTCATTGGCTCGAACTTGATCACTTTTAACCTGGTTGTTGGCCGAACATTGGAGTAGTGCTCTCAGTGGAGTAGCTGTCAGTCAGTAGTGTGGACCAGTTGAGTTTGTCTTCTGGAACTGAACCTTCCACAATACTTTTCAGCCAGATTCTTCGCTTTGTTGCCAAGAAAGAAGGGAGGAGGGCATGCGGGCAGGTAACTAGCTTCATAATCATCCGAGTACCATTTATTTTTAATAAATAGTCATTTCCCCCATGGATTACTGGTTACAACTCTTTGTAGTCAATAGCTCCATGACTTTGGATTATTTTTAAGTTTTCTGCTATGTTTACTCATGGACCAGCACTGCATACTCTTAGTTACTGTAGCTTTAAAATATTTTTGATACTTGATAAATCCTGGTTACTATTATCCTTCTGTCTGAGAGCTTTTTTGACTATTTTGTTTTTTCAAATAAACTTTAGAATCAGTGTGTCTAGGTCCAAAATGCTGTTTTTTTAAAAAAAATTGGGTGTAGTTATTCATGAGTTAAGGGAGAAATAAGGAAAATGATTTCTTCTTTTGAAAAAGTTTTAAGAATATTTTTTTATTATCTATAGGAGTCTACAAAGGACTGTTCATTTAACAAAGCAGTTTCTGAGTGTCGCCCCTTATCTTTATGCATTATGGTTGAACATTGTGTATATGATTTTCATTTTCGTGTGCTCAGATTTTCTTTTGTGTCAGATAAGGATCTTTTCAATGATAAGAGGAAAGTACACTTTAGGCTAATAGTGTGAATTATTTGTCTCCTTGCCTATCTCTTGCTGGGTAGAGTGATCTAAGCCCTTGTTTCATTATTAGATATGAGTCTGCACATGAAAGTTGCATAACCAGAGGAAGGGGAATTAGAAAACATTTTCCTTGGTCCTGGAATTAGCCTCGAGAAGAATTGGTCTTGGGAATTCTTAGAAAGTTATTAATTCACCTGTAATGTCCCCCATTTAACTTCCATTTCCTTGGAGTATGAGTTTAATATAAATCCAAGTACATCTTTTAAAGTTTGTTTTGTCAAAATTGGAGAATTCATGTTTCTTAAAATGTCCTGTGCATTTTGTTTTGTTTAAAATGGTTTGATCTTGTTATCATAGTAATCATTTCATGTTTTATTTTTATAATCATCCTATTGAGGGTAACAATATCTTAGTTAGCCATTTTAATTTGGAAATTTCTGGTCTTACTAATCACTAATGATTTTTAATGCTTTCTTTTTTGTTGTTGTCGTGTTATGTTTTATTTGTTGTTTGTTTATTCTTTTAACATCTCCTTAAGTCTTCATGCTTAAGTTACCTTACTGTAATTTTGGACACCATTAGGTTTTGCTTCTCTAAAATTTTTAATTCACAAATAGTATGTTGTGGTTTTTTTTTTTTTTTAATTTTCTTTCTTTTTTTCCCCTATTTTTTTCAGTCTTCTTAGCATGTGTTTCTTTCAGTTTGATGCACTCAGTTGATCTTTTTTTGGTTCCATTATTTATGTTACCATCCATTTAAAACAGGCCACCGTGGAATCTATCATGAGGGATAAGATGCCCAAAAAGGGAGGAAGATGGTGGTTTTCCTGGAGGGGCCGAAACACCACAATCAAAGAGGTAAGGGCAGAGTACCGAGTGGGCATTTGTACTTGGAAGGGTTTGGTTTTGTGCAGTGATGTTTGTTTCTAGGTACTTGCATCAGGACAGCAGAGTTGAAGGGTGCAAAGTCATCAGGGTTGAAAGGTGAGAGAGAGGCCATTAGGCTTTTGGGTCACTGCCTGTAAGTTTGGATACTGATGTAGAGTTGTTCTCCCTCTGTAAGATTTCAGTCTCTTTTATTTTTGTTGGTGGTGGGGCTTGAACTCGGGGCCTGGATGCTCTCTCTGAGCTTTTGTGCTGGAGGCTGGAGCTCTATCACTTTGAGCTACAGCTCCACTTCCAGTGTCTGGTGGTTAATTGGAGATAGGAGTCTCATGGACTTTCCTGCCAAGATTGCTTTTGAGTAGCGATCCTCAGATCTCAACCTTGTGAGTAGCTAGGATTATAGGCATGAGCCACCAGTACCAGGCTAGGTTTCTGTTTATCAAGAAGAAGACCTTCAACATAATAATTTAATTTTCTAGAAAAATTATCTATCTGGAGCATGAATTTCTCTTTTCTTGGAAGATTCATCTGATCTGCTGTTCTAGGCTCTCTGAGCATTGCCTAGGTACTTTTCCTTCTTAAATTTAGTCACAGTTTATAATATATGCAATTAGTGGGACTGTTGTCCAGCTCGTTTCTTCTGCTCCAGACCTTAAACTCCTTGAAGGCAGAGGTCATGGGTAGCTTTGACCCCTGTGGTCATGCCTGGAACTCACACTGGGCCACATAGAGGGATTTGGCTTTTATTTGTTGAGAGAATGATGGTTGTTTGGGTTAAATAACCACAAGGTTCAATAAATCCATTGAAACCCTAAAATAAATCCCATCAAACTCAGTTTATTACACTCTTTAAAAGGGACGAGGGCTGTGGTAGAGCCTTACCTAGGTCGAATTGTTCTTTGACATATTCTCATGGAGCGTCTGACTTTGTTGATTGTCTCATTATCTCTAGGGTAGACACAAGTTGGAGCCAACATACATGCTTTTCTTAGGGGACTTAAAGCAAAAAGGGTCTTTAGTTTTCTTACTAAATGGCAGAATGTTCTAGAATTGTAGCTTGAAGTACATTTTGAAGACTTCTTTATTTGTAGAGTATCTGAATTCCCACCAATTTGGTGAGAAAGGAGTATTTATGAAATCAAATATGTCTTTAAAAGCTAAAATATATATTCCAGCTATATGTACATTTTCTGCACTAGCCTACTAAAGATGGCTAATGGTGGTACAGGTTATATACCTTGATAAATAGGTTAAAAACAACCAACTATGTCATATTTATGTGCTCATAAACAACTCAAGAGCACCTGCCATTATTTGTACTAATGATACGTGAAGACACTCACCATATTGTATAGTTTATGGTGTTTGTTTCTTTGTTGAAATGCCCTGGTGGAAATGATGAACCGGTTTTCTGAATAAGGGAAAAGGAGGTTGCCTTGTGTACCCTTTGTCCTTTAATATGTCTTTCTGGTCTATTCCAGCTTAGTCTTGGGTCCTGTGGGTCCTTGGGTCCTCTCCCCCCTCCTCCCCCCATCCCCGGCCTCTTTCCTGCTGTGTGTGGGCTCTGTGTTGCGTGCACAGTCCTTCATTATCACTAGAGCAGTGCGGGGGGGGGGCAGAATCTCACCCCCACTTCACAGATGTGAAAGTAAGGGGTGTGCCACTGGAAGACATTCCCAGCGTCTGTAAGAGGCAGGAGGTGGTGTCCAAGGCCCTGGAATTCTCTAAGAAATCCAGGACTTCACTACATCCCAAGAGCAATTTCCTATAAAGAATATGTGGTATTAAAAGGAGTGAAATGCTTCCACATTTTCTCCAAGCAAAATATGGTGTGAAAATATTTTCGAGCATTTCAATCGGCAATTAGAAGAAAATATTTTGAAAGCCCTGAGGACTCCAAGCAGCCCTCGATGAAGCATTTGCAGACGAGACGGCGATGATGGCGTTTGGTTGAGTGCCACCAACACTTACAGATAACAGACTCATTTCTGTCAAAAACATTTCTCAGCTTAATTGTATGTTTCTGTGCATAGGAGAAGCCAGGAGCTGCAAAGAAAACACAGAGCCTCCTGTGGCTACTGGGGTAGGGTCCCCTATGGGGTCCTGCCTGAGCTTTGGGGGAACCTGTGGCAGAATAGAGGCTTTTGTACCAGTCCCTTTGCTTTGCTCCTTCTGTGACCATTGCTTTTCTTCTTCCCCAGGAAAGTAAGTCAGAGCAGTGCCTGCCTGGGAAGAGCCACAGTACTGGAGAGCAGCCAGCCCAGCTCAGCATGGCCCCCAGGTAAGAGGGGTGGTCCTGGCAGTCCAAGATCTCACACGGCGGCTCAGGCCTGGGCCTGCCTCCCAGCAGTGGCATCTTGCTTCCCTCCATGACCCACTGTGGGTTGTTTTAGATCAGGGTAACCATTCATAAAATGGAGGCAGTCACTTCCTTCGGTAAATGTGAGCCTTAAATAATGAGCTGACATAACTAGTGTATTTCTCAGGTTTCTCAAAGTGGTGGCTATCCTGTGCAGATGGCAGTGGTGATAATGCTCTCACAGTGACATGGTAACAATAAGTTCCTGCTGAAAGAATTTGCTTTTCTGTACAGGTTCAATGCTTCCTGGAACCTACTTTGCTTGCTTGCTTGGTTGCTTCCTTCCTTCCTTTATTTCCCTCCTACCCTTCTTTCTTCCTTTCCCTCTCCCCTCCTTCCTGCCTTCCTTTCCCTGATTTTGTGCTCGTTCAGCTGGTCCTCTACCACTTGAGCTACTCCTTCAGGCAGACTTTTTGCTTGTGTTACATTTTTTGCCCGAGCTGACTTTGAATCCTATGGATCTCGGCTTCCTGAGTGGCTAGGATTCAGACCTGGGCCACTGGCACCTGGCCTATTGATATTTTTCTCATGGATGCATATTAACTTGGCACAGCAGAGATGTTTTTTTCCTCCTTTTGTTTGTAATGGAAGTAGTTACACAGAGGGTTTTCACCAACATGTCAGTTTATGAGTGTGATGCATCCCCACCCCCACCCCTCCCGACCCCCCCATCCCCTCATGTCTCTGTTACATTGCCACATTAACACTGAATGTTAGGACTGCATTCACCCACTCCTTTCTCTCTCCATTTGCCTGCTCCCACCTTGCTCTCTCAGACAACATATTTCAGCTTCCTGGTATTTATTTTATTAAACTGTAAGTTCTTCAAAGGAGTTACACCGTTGGTGTTTTTAGTTCACACGTGTTTGTAACACGAGGGGTTTTCATTGCGGTATTTGCATAAACACTCCCAGAAGGTTGCTGAGGTCTTGATGCTGGAGTTGTCTTCAGCTTTATCTCTGTGACAGGGCTTGGGCAACTGGGCTGTGAGGAGAGGCATTCCCCAGCCCTTACAACAGCAGTGTGGACCCTGACCCTGAATGACCTTCACCAGTAACTTCCATCCTCACAGCCTTCCTGAAAGCCAGGCCTGCATTTCCTTCCCCCCCACCCCCACCCCTTCTGGGGTGCTTGTCCTGGGGCTTGAACTCAGGGCTTGGGCACTGTTCCTGATCTATTTTGCTCAAGACTAGCACTCTACCACTTGATCCACAGCTCCACTGCTGGCTTTTTTGGGGCTTAATTGGAGATGAGTCTCGGATTTTCTAGCCTGGGCTGGCTTTGAATGGTGAACCTTAGATGTCAGCCTCATGTGTAGCTAGGATTACAAGTATAAGCTACTGGTGGCTAGCCTGCATTTTCTACTCAGCACACAGAAACTACTAGCAGGTTCTTTGAGGGGCCGATCCATAGGAAATCATTTCATACCTTGGAGGCCAAGGCACAGGGCAGGGCTGTTGTCAGTGCTGCCTGCCAGTCCAACTGGTGAGGTTTTCTCCAAGAGGAGAAGCAGCTCAGATTTCGCCTCCTCTGCCTCATGCCTCGGCTGTTTGACTTAAACTCCTTCCGATGGCAAGTAGGACACAGTCCAGCTGATTTCCTTATTGTGGAGGGAGGTCTGAAGCCTGGGCAGAGCGCTTGTTTGTGAGTCAGGTACTACATAGTTCACTTGTGTTCTCAGAGGAGCCTTCTGTGCGCTGGTCTCTGCCCCTGCGCCCTTGCTTAGCGTGGGTGGGAAGGAAGCAGAGGGTAGTAGACCGAGTATTCCAGTCTGCTCTTTGTTTTCTGACTCTGGCTCCTTCACTGGGAACAGGCTCGTGAGCATGGATGGTACTTTTTTGGGTGCTAATTGTGGGGCTTGAATTTAGGTCCTGGGCACTGTCCCTGAGCTTTGTTGCTTAAAGCTAGTGCTCTACCACTTGAGCCATACCTCTAACTTTGGGTAGGTAATTGGCGGTCAAGTTCTCACAGACTTTCTTGCCTATGCTGGCTTTAAACTGTGATCCTCAGCCTCTTGAATAGCTAAGATGACAGGTGTGAGCTACTGGCAGCTGGCTTTCTGGTACTTTTTGAAGTGCTACTCCAAGGCTTGAACTTAGGGCAGTCTCCCTTGGATGTCTGACTCATGGCTGGTGATCTACCACTTGAGCCATGTCTCCATTTAGGCATTTTGCTGGTCAATTGGAGATGGAGTCTTGAGGACTTTTCTGCCTAGGCTGGCTTCAAGACATGATCCCACAGGTCTCAGCCTCCTGAGTAGCTAGGGATTATAGGCATGAGCTACTGGTACTTGGCTTTTTTTTTTTTTTTGCCAATTCTAGGCCTTGAACTCAGAGCCTGGGCATTGTCTTTGTGCTTTTTCGCTCAAGGAAAGTACTCTACACTTGAGCCACAGCCGTACTTCTGGCTTTTTGGTGGTTAATTGGAGATGAGTCTGGTTTCAAGCCTATAATCCTCAGATCTCAGTCTCTTGAGTAGCTAGGATTACAGGTAGGAGCTACCGTATAGCTGGGAGCTGCTGGCACTTGGCTACCTGTTTTTTTTTTTAAATTTTATTGTCAAGGTGATGTACAGAGGGGTTACAGTTACATAAGTAAGTTAGTGAGTACGTTTCTTGTCAAACTTGTTACCCCCCTCCCTCATTTTTCTCGCACTTTCCCTCCCCCTCAGCATGCCCCTCCTCCCCAAGTTGTACAGGTTATTGGATGAATTTTGTTTAGCCCTGAGTGAGCTCAAAGGGCCCAGGCAAGTGTGTGTTAAGTATTAAGCCTAGGCTGGGGCTGTGCCAGCCCTGGAAGTGATGTATCGAGCTGCCAGAGGGCTTTACAGGCAGAGGTAGTCGGGTGGGCAGGTGTTGCTACCTAGGTGCCAGTAGGGCATCTCCATCTGTGAACTCGGGGATGAGAGTGACCTCCAGAGTGCACTCACCCCTCGGCCACACTGTAAGCCACATGTTCGATCCCAGCCTGCAGTCCCAGCCGTCCCAAGGAAGTGTTTTGTGGCTCACAGACTGAAATCTTCCAGTCCTATCTTGCCACGTGATAGACTCTGACCTGGGACCATGGTCACATGAGCTCTGTTAAAAGGCATAGAGGGTGACAAACACTGGCAGGGGGCCCAAGTGCTCACCACTGTTCCTCTTGTCAGTTCTGGAAGATTCCAGAAGCATACGGGCAAGCTGAAAGTAGAGGACATTGAGATGGCTTGTAGTAACTCTTTCCAAGTTGGGCCTCAGCTCATGGGGTTTTCTGGAGCTGGGTGGATTTTTCCAGTGGCTAAAAGAGTTGTGTCCACCGGTCCCCAAGACACGCGTTTTTCCTGTTCTGTAGGCATGGGTGGGTCACTTTTCTCAGCTAGTCATTCTGCATTTCTTTATCAGTGAAGAACTGACTTCTGTGCAAGAGGACTGGAATTTTGGGGAAGCACTCAGCTTCTTTTGAGAAATGTGAATCTTTTCATCTATATGGGTGACTTTTAGTCTCCTTATTAGACATTTGCAGAAGTAAAAAAAAAAAAGTTGTGTGCGAATGTTTTCTAATTGACAGACTTGATTGGCAGAACAGTCCCTAAAGTCCCATCATTGAGCAAACAGCTTGTCACCACACAAATAATTAAAATGCCATTTGAAGAACGTACTGTGCCGTGACAGGCGTTCACGTAGACATTGTGTTGTTCTCAGCTCCTTGTCTGAACACAGCTTCACATGGTGGAGGCCCGTTTGTTTATAAAGCAGGTGACATTTAACCAGCCTCTGTGGGAGGGGCGTGGGGCCTCCGGATGGGAGGGTGGTGACGTCTGAGGGCAGCAGACACAGACCACCATGGATGGGGACAGGCCCTTCACTGAAAGTACCAGTCACCAGCTACACAACTCCTGTCACGTCCCATCCTGTGTCCCGTCTCTGTCCCCCCTCAACCCCTTTCCATGGGGATTGAACTCAGGCCTGGCTCTGTCCCTGATCCTCTTTGTTCTCAAGGCTAGCACTCTGCCACTTGAGCCACAGCGCCACTTCTGTCTTTTTCTGAGTAGTTTATTGGAGATAAGAGTCTCACAGACTTTTCTGCCTGGGCTGGCTTCGAACTGGGGTCTTCAGATCTCAGCCCCCTGAGTAGCTAGGATTACAGGAGTGAGCCACTGGCACCCGGCCTGATGACTGGCTTCTTACACTAAAGCCTTAGGGCACCAGGACGAGCCTGCTTCCTGTTTTGCCAATGGCTGACTCAGTGTGGATGGATGGTAGTCAGTGGCTCTGATCTCTTAGTCAGGGCTCCTCCCCGCAACTCCTTTGGTGCTGTCCTGAGGGAGGAAGCGGCTCATGAGATGCACAAAGCACCTGTCTCCTATGCAGCAGTGGGTGCCGTGTGCAGTGTGCCCGCTCACCTCTCCAGCATAGGCAGTGCTTGGGTGTAGAGACGTTCCTTGGGTGGAGGCTTGTGAGGGGCCCGTGGCCATCTTATGACCATGGAAATGAGAGGAAACTAGAGGTTGAGCGCCCACGGAAGTAACTTGATGATGAGGACCGTGTGTATCCAAATTCAGTGCTAACGGATGGGGAGGGGTTGGGGCATGCCTGCTCTGGGGCCCACAGCCTTTTCCATCCAGTTGTAGGCTGCTAAGACCTCTTTTCTTTTTTTTTTGCAGCACTGGGATTTGAACTCGAGTCTCCCACTTTCTGGTCTGGCATCATGCCACTGAGCTGTGCCTCCAGTCCTCTTACCTTTTTTTAACTCACTATTTTTAAGATCAGGTTCTCACTTTCCTCCCAGGCCTGCGTCCACACCTCCGTCTGCCTACTTTTATTTATGTTCCTGTTGTCATTGAGATCACAGGCATGAGCATCCTTCCCTCACGCCAGCTTCCCTCTGGAGACAGACTCTCGCAGCCTTTCCTGCCTGGGCTGGCCTCAATCCACAGGCCTCCACTCTCCACCTCCCACGTAGCATGGGATGATGGGTTGAGAAAGGGGTCTTGAGAACTTCTCTGTGTGCCTGGCCTCAGCCTCAGTCCTCCAATTCTCAGTCTCCCAAACACCTTTAGGATATAGGTGTGAGCCACTGAGGCCGGGCACTAAGACCTTTTTGAAGATAGTGGTCCTGAGAGGCAGAGCTAGTATCACTGGGCTGAAGATGATGTCATTGCAGGCTTTTACTCCAAGGCACAATGAATTACTTATCAACTTCCTAAAGCAGACATTCTACTTAAAGCCCAAGGAGCCTGTGGGTTCTAAGTCTGCAAAGATGGCCTCCTCTTGGTGGGGTGGCCTGCCAGGGGTTCAGGTAGGGTGACTGGCACCTGTGTAGAAGTCCTAGAAGTGCCCTAATAATTTGGAATTTGGAGAGCTAATGAGTTTGGCTTCTGAGGACTTGGCCCTCAGCCACTGAAGAAATTGAAGCGAAGCAGTAGAGTCATGCCAGTTAGCAGCTGCCTAGGCTAGAAGCCTTGACTGCTTCTCAGGAAAAGAGGTCTGTTGGTTAAAAGAGTGATGAGAGCTAGTAAGTGGGCAAGCAAATGAGGAGAGGCAGCCCCTACATGAATAATGCAGCGATGCATGAATGGGCTGCAGCACAGGCTCATTGATAAATCTAAAACCATATGGTCAATGACCACCCGAGAGGCGGTTCTCGGGAGAGATCCGCTTGGCTGAGTCATTGACTCAGAGCGAATGCATTTTTAGTGGCTACCCAGATGCATCTTGTAGTGGGCGGTGACATCACTGTGTGCTCTAGGATAAAGCACGAGTCATCCTCCAGTGACGAGGAGCACGCAGCTGCCAAGCCATCAAGCACCAGCCACCTCCCTCTTCTGGCAAATGTCAGCTACAAGAAGACGTTGCGGCTCACTTCCGAGCAGCTGGTGAGGCCCCTGGTCCCCGCGCACGCGCAGGCTCTACCTCACGGCAGTCAGGGTCCTCGGTCTCTGGGGGCACGTCTGAAGTTCTTCCTATTTCATGGTTCCCATTTCTACTTCCTGGCACCTTTTATTCCCCCCCCCCCACCCCCCCGCATGCCTACCCCCTCTCGGGACCCCACCATCCCTTATTTGGCGCTATACAGCCTTACTTCTTCCTTGATCTAGCGGAGCCCTCAGTGTGATATCACTTACCCCGGAGTTCTTTTTACTGTGTGTGTGTGCGCACACATCCGCAGGTATTGGGGCTTGAACTCAGGGCCTGCCTGGGTGTTGTCTCTTAGCATTTTCACTCAAGGCTTACCACTTTCAGCTCTTTTACTGGTTAATTGCAGATAAGAATCTCATGGACTTTTCCTGTCCAGGCTGACTTCAAACTATGATCCTCAGATCTCAGCCTACTGAGTAGCTAAGAGCATAGGCATGAGCCACTGGTGCCTGCCTATGCAGTTCTTGTGGCACATCACTTAACTCTTCCAGAAGTGCTGCATCATGGTAGCCTTGTCCTTGCAAGCAGAACGCTCTGTGGAAAGGGGAAGAGCGGCAGTGTAGGTGGGCCAGAGAAAGTGGAGGCTTAATTTGCCTGTCAGGACCCATAACGAACTAGAATAAGGGTGCAGTGTGTCACTCCTACAATCCCAGCTGCTTGGGAGATGGGAGTGCAGGATGATCAAGGTTCCAGGCTAACCTGGACAAAAGTTAGGAAAGCCCCAATCTCTACTAAAAGCTCGGTGTGGTGGTGTCTGCCTGTCATCCAAGCCACATGGGGAGGTGTACCCAGGAGGATTACAGGCTAGGTCCATCCCAATGACAGTCTGAGGCCTTTTTAGAAAAATATGCTTAGGCACAAAAGGCCTGGGAGTGGCTGAGTGCTAGCCTAGCAAGTGCCAGGGCCCATTCTGACCCCCCCATGCACGACCAGGTGGATGGTGTGTTTCTTAACGTCTTTCTCAGGATAGAAGCCAGACACCCGCTTTGGGGTCTTCCCTCGAGCTGACACATGATTCATGTTTTCTTAGAAAAGCCTGAAGCTGAAGAATGGCCCCAATGACGTGGTGTTCAGCGTCACCACGCAGTACCAGGGCACCTGCCGTTGTGAGGGCACCATCTACCTGTGGAACTGGGACGACAAAGTCATCATTTCTGACATCGATGGGACCATCACCAGGTGGGCCTGGCCTCTGCATGGGCCCTGGGGTCTGGGTGGCCCGCCCTCGGGGTGGCATCTCTGTTGAGAGCTGCTCTGCGGGGCAGTCCTTGCCTCCTGGTGTGGCTGTTTGCATCTGGGTCTCCTGTCGTACCCTCCCTGGTATAGTTGCTTTTGGAGAGAGCTTTTTAAGACTGGTTAGGGGCTAGGAAGGTGGCTCAGTGGTAGAGTGCTTGCCTTGCATGCATGAGGCCCTGGGTTCGATTCCTCAGCACCAAATAAGCAAAAAGAAAAAAAAGCTGGAAGTGGCGCTGTGGCTCAAGTGGTAGAGCGCTAGCCTTGAGCTGAAGAGCTGAGGGACAGCGCCTAGGCCCAGAGTTCAGGCCCCATGACCGGACCCCCCAGAAAAAAAAAACACTGGTTAGTCCCCCTTTCCTGTGCTTTGGCAAGCTTGAACCTAGGCCCATGATCAGTGCCCTTCTTTGGTACCGTAGCCCTCTCTGCACAGCTCATTTGGTTCTTTGAACTTTGAGCTTTCAAGAAATTTGTGAGTCTCCTTTGTAATTTTTAAAATACTTTTTCTTTTTTTTTTTTCACCAGTCCTGGGACTTGAACTCAGGGCCTGGGCGCTGTCCCTGAGCTTCTTTTGCTCAAGGCTGACACTCTACCACTTGAGCCACAGCTTCACTTCCAGCTTTTTCTGAATAGTTTATTAGAGATAAAAGCTCACAGACTTTCCTGCCTGGGCTGGCTTTGAACTATGATAGGAACTTTGAACAGCCTTTTGAGTAGCTAGGACCACTAGTTCCTGGCTTAATAATAGTCTGTAGTGGTGTGTGTGTGTGTGTGTGTGTGTGTGTGTGTGTGTGTGTGTGGTGTGTGTGTGTGTGTGTGTGTGTACTAGGGCTTAAACTCTGGCCCTGAACTTCTTTTTGCTCAAGGCTAGCATTCTACTATTTGAGGTATAGCACCATTTCCTGCTTTTTCCGTGTATGTGGTACTGAGGAATTGAACCCAGGGCTTCGTGCATGCTAGGCAGGCACTCTACCGCTAAGTTAGTGGCCCTAGCTAGGACCACTAGTTCCTGGCTTAATAATAGTCTGTAGTGGTGTGTGTGTGTGTGTGTGTGTGTGTGTGTGTGTGTGTGTGTGTGTGTGTGTGTGTGTGTGTGTGTGTGTGTGTGTGTGTGGTGTGTGTGTGTGTGTGTGTGTGTGTGTGTGTACTAGGGCTTAAACTCTGGCCCTGAACTTCTTTTTGCTCAAGGCTAGCATTCTACTATTTGAGGTATAGCACCATTTCCTGCTTTTTCCGTGTATGTGGTACTGAGGAATTGAACCCAGGGCTTCGTGCATGCTAGGCAGGCACTCTACCGCTAAGTTAGTGGCCCTAGCTAGGACCACTAGTTCCTGGCTTAATAATAGTCTGTAGTGGTGTGTGTGTGTGTGTGTGTGTGTGTGTGTGTGTGTACTAGGGCTTAAACTCTGGCACTCTACCGCTAAGCCACATTCCCAGCCCCTAGTTTTCCTTTCTAATTTTTTTGCTATGTAGCCTAGGACGGCCTTGAACTCTCAATCTGCCTGCCTGCCTCAGCTTCCCAAGTACTGGGATTACAGGTGTGCGCCACTGGACTGTGAGGCCTGTGTGTTTGTATTTTTGTGAGGCATGGATGTGTTTAATCTGGACAAAAAGCCCATCCTTCCAATGACCTTCTTATTTTATTCCTTGTCTTCTGCTCTCCCCACCCCCCCATTGCCTCCCTGTTTTAGATCAGATACCCTTGGCCACATTTTGCCCACACTCGGGAAGGACTGGACCCACCAGGGCATCGCTAAGCTGTACCATAAAGTGAGCCAGTAAGTATGCGCGCTTGGCTCCCAGGCCCTGTGAACTGTGGCGGCCCCCCGTGCCATGTGCACAGCCTCTTCCTGCTGGCATGGGGTGGGTGGCTTCCTGGCTTATGAAGAACGGGGCATCTAAAGCCAGGAGCAGCAGTGGCAGTGGGGAGTGGCGGTGGAGAGTCCTAAGTAATTCCAGACTTAAACTCAGTACCAGGCAACTAGAAAGGAGGTATAGGTGAGTCAACCATTGTAGAAGAAATAGGTGGTGTTCATGGGGTGCCAAAGATAGCCAGCCAGCCAGCCGGGATGAAGCAGGCACTTAATTGGAATGCTTTTAACACGTCGGGAAACACTTGTGGCATTGGGCTGGAGCCTCTGCAGGCCCTCCAGGGAGGCCTCCCAACCTTCCCTGACCCGAGTGCAGCCTTGCCCTCTGCCGCTTGGCCTCCTCGGTAGCTTCTGGTGCTCTGCTGTATTTATAGTTAATGGAAAGAAGCCTGCAAGGGTGCGCATTCTTTGACTCTGGATTAAATCTGTTTCTAGATTATTAAAAAAGCGCAGCCTGCCTGCATCCATCCTTTCTTCATGTGTTCCTTCCTTTCTTTGTTCCTCCCTCTCTTCTTTCCCTTCCTTCTTCCTTTCCTGTCCTGTCCTACTGTCCTTTTTTTTTTTTTTTTGCTGGTACTTGGACTTGAACTCAGGGCCTTCTGTTCTTGTTTGGCTTTTTCATAAAGCTAGAGCTCTACCACTTGAACCATAGCTCTACTTATGGCTTTATGGTGCTTAACTGGAGATAAGTATCTCATGGACTTGCCTGCCCTAGCTGGCTTTGAACCTGGATCTGCAGGTCTCAGCCTCTTGAGTTAGCTAGGACTTACAGGGGTGAGCTGCTGGCACCCAAGGCTGGTGTTCCATCACTTGAGCCATACCTTCACAGACTTTTCTGTCCTGGCTGGCTTTGAACCTCAATCCTTAGATCTCAAGTCTGTCTACTGATTATTTAGGATTATAGGCTCGAACCACTGGGGCTCAATATTCACAGCATTTGTTGTTGTTGTTTACCTCAAATCTTTAGTTTACTATACTCATTACCCTCTGCCATAAGGAATAGAGGGACATGTTGAGTAGAAGGTTTACTGGAAGTCTTAGGGCTGGATTCCAGAAGGAGGCCCTTGGACTAAGAGCATGCCTTACTCTGAGCTCCGGCTTCCTTATCTCTAAGATGGAGGAAAGTAGACTAGATGATCCCTTAGGACCAGTGCTGGCCATGATATGCCCTGCTGTTGGGTCAGCTTGGGGAATGGTACAGTGCGTGTGTACCATGGCTGAGTGCTGTTTTTCCAAGCTGAGCCTCAGGCAGGAGTCTGAGGAACGGGCTAGACTTGCACACCTGCAGTGCACAGGGACCATACCACAGCTGGGTAGCTCTGGTCCCGCAGCTCCCTGCACTGAGGACGCCCATCGCCTCAGGGGCTTGTGATGGCGCGGGAGGTGCATTGCTGCAGCCGGGCAGCCAGGGGCAGGTCCATGGGATGACGCTGGTGTTTTGGCATCTAGGGAAGGTGGCAGGTGAGCTGAGTCCTCATGATGAGGGGCATTCCAAAGGCAAGGGAAGGCTCCCAGTGGACGGAGCAGGGGTGAGAGATGAGCCAGTGTGTGAGGGAAAGGAGGTGCCGGGCGGGTGGGTGGGTAAGCAGTGCCTCAGAGAAGCCAGGTGCTGGTGGCTCACACCTGTAACCCTAGCTTCTCAGCAGAGATCTGAGGATCAATGTTCAAAGCCAGCCTGGTTAGCAGAAAAAAAAGGAAGAACCCTCCCCCCCCCCAAAAAAAAAAAAAGCTGGGTGCTACTGGCTTGCATCTGTAATCCCAGATACTCAGGAGGCTGAGATCTGAAGATGTTTCAAAGCCAGCCTGGGTAGGAAAGTCTGTGAGACTCTTACCTCTAACCAGCAAAAAACCAGGAGTGGAGCTGTGGTTCAAGTGGTAGAGCTTTAGTCTTCAGTACAAAAGCTCAGGGATAGTGCCCAGGCCCCAAGTTCAAGCCCCAAGACTGGTACCAAACCCTTCCCCCAAACCAAAATCCCCAAACTAACACATTAGAGAAACCCGAGGGCCGAGGGACTGGAAGGCCAGACCAAGACCACGCATGGGTTTCTATGTGTCCTTTCTTCCTTAAGGGGCAGGTGACTGCCCTTCCTGTTAGGACTATGAGTGAGGACACAGAGTCCCTTCTCTTGACAATACCCCCAGTGGAGGGTATTGTATTCTCTGTAGGGCACGTGGCAGTGTGGCAGGAACGTTTTTGACTGTCATGAGTGGTATGTATTACGCCATCTAGTGGGCGGAGGCCAGGAATGCTGCTCATGCCGTGTTACAGAACTGCGTCCTCGTGCAGGATCCATGGTCTCAATCCCCAATTGGAGACCCTGGCTACCTCCGCAGCTGACTACTGCCTAAAGTGCATTACAGTCCTTGAAAAGGATGGCTCCTGGTATCCCCAGGCTGTGTGGATCGTGTCTTAGGGGATACTCCTAGGGGCAAACATTCGGTCGGTGTAAAAGCAGGGTGGAGATTGGACACAGATATCACCGCTGCTACCTAGTGGGAGTGGAGATTGCTCTTTCATCTCTCCTGCTATTTCCCCTGAGCCCCAGTGGAATTGCCGGGAACCTTGGTGGCCTCCGGGTGATGGTAGTGAAGGTTCATCGCTGACCCTTCCTGTCTTCCAGCCACCTCCGCTCTGTCATGTGTTCTACTTCTCTGGCTATTGATTTTCTCTGCTCCTGCAGGGACAGGGTCATGCTGAGCCCACGGGCTTGCCAGCCAGTGTGGGGTTTCAGTGCGATTGGCGGAGAGTACAAGGAGCCTCAGACTTGTGCAGGGGCCATGGGTTGGCCACTGTTTGCTCTTCTGAGCACAGGGTCTTGTCCTAAGGGACAAGATTGTTGGTGGGCATGTGCTGGCGGTTCAGGCAGCTTTCACTGTAGGTGGAGGATTCCGCCTCCAGCAGCCATGGTTCCCCTCTCACAGTAGACCATCTCCAGTTGAGGTTCCAGCTAAGTTAGGAAGGGCTTTTGTGCAGAGTAAGCACATGGAGACAACAGCTCAGGTGCATAGTTGAACTCCAAAATGGATCTGAAAATCAAGTTTGAATAAAACGAACCTTTCAGACCTTTGCAGGTGCAGCTTTGAGACTTTGATGTGAAGAGCTATGCACAGAAATGGTGATTTTTTTTCTTAAAACTTGCATTAATTAGACAGCTGAAATACAAAGATGGTTCATTCAAAAGCCTGTTTCATATTCAGACGCAGCCCTCTGTTCCAAACAAGCTGAGAGATTGTTTTTGTCTGAAAACTTTTCCTGCTCCTTGATTTTCGAGAACGGCATATTAGACAGGTGTAGAGACACGGCCTCTTGTGTGGAGACATAAGTGGGGTGGAGTTGGTGGCTTGTATTCACCCATGTGCCAGATACTTCTGTTCCCTGTGTGCCCCACACTGCCCCAGCATGGTGTTACATCTTCCTGGAGGTAATGGATTAAAGAGAGAGAGTGAAATGAGGAACAGTGACGTAATATTAGTGATAGACACACTGAGGCAGAACAGGGCCCTGAGGGGGGATGGGCAAGGGGGTAGTGTGGGAGGGAAGGTAGCCCCCACCCGCCAGGTGTTCTGAGGATTACAGATGAGTCACAGTGAGTGGCATTGAAGGTCATTTTGGTTGATGTGGGGCTTGAACTCTGGGCCTGGACACTGTCCCTGCACTCTTCAGCTCAAGGCAAGTGCTCTACCACTTGAGCCACAGCACCACTTCCAGTTTTCTGGTGGTTAATTAGAGATAAGAGTTTCATGGACTTTCTTGCCCAGGCTGGCTTTGAACTGCGATCCTTAGAGCTCAGCCTCCTGAGTAACTAAGATTATAGGCGTGAGCCACCGGTGCCCAGCTGAGGGTCATTTCTCTGCAGAAAACCCAGTGGTGTGGCATTGTGGACTCAGCAACATGGAGAACACACCCCTGCCCTCCTTCGGGAAGCAGATAGATGTGAAGGGAGGGCGATGCCTGCCGTTCAGTCTGGTGGTGCCGTTACATGTGGACGTGTTGTGTCTTTCAGGAATGGATATAAGTTTCTCTACTGCTCCGCCCGGGCCATCGGGATGGCAGACATGACGCGAGGCTACCTGCACTGGGTCAACGAGAGGGGCACCGTGCTGCCCCAGGGGCCGCTGCTGCTCAGCCCCAGCAGCCTCTTCTCCGCCCTGCACAGGTGCCGCCCTCCCCAGACACAGACCGGACCTCTGCGCCTGCGCTGTGCTTTCCCTCCCTCGCTGGATGGTTTGCACGAACGCGCAGATTCTTCTCTGGTCCCCACTTTAGAGTGGGTGCCGGGCCCGCCCCGCCTCTCCTGCCAGCACCTTCCCTGGTTTGCGGGGCTCTGGGGTCGATCTCAGGTTCTTTTGCTGACGAGGGTGGCTCTCCACGGCCTGTCTCCTCTTGCTCCGCAGATGCATTTCTCTCTTATTTGGGAATCTCACTGGGACCGACTGGCTCCAATTTCCAGATAGCCTTCGTTTTGTTCTTCTACCTGGGGAAACCTCTCTCCACCCCTGTCCCTGAGAAGCTTGGCTGAGTCTTAATGGCTCTTGGAGAAACAACTCAGATTGCATCTCATGGGGAGCCTAGCCTGCTGAAGGAGCCTGTCCGGCCACGCCACCCATCTGGCCGTAGCTGCCTGGAACACACCCTTCTTCTCTCCCGGAGTTTTAGAGGCACTGTGTATTTTAATAGTTCTCTAGGAGACCACTGGCCAGTACCCTCCCCCCCGTCAGCCTCCCGGCCATGTTGTAGACAGCTAAGGCAGTTCTGGCCCAGGGAGCACTGGGGACACTCTTTTCCCCTATGGTTGGATGGGGCCATTCACCTGCTTATCAGCTTCAGGACTTCAGTCCCTGTGAAAAGGTGGAATGATCATATATTTGGTTTTTAAGACCCAATGAGGACTGGAGACATGGCTTAGTGGTAGAGTACCTGCCTAGTAAGCATGAGGCTCTGAGTTCAGACCTTAGTAAGGCTAAAACAAACCAACCAACCCAAAAGTCCCAATGCAAGGCTTTGGAGGGTGGGATTTGACTGAGTTTGAGAAGTGGATTTGGTGCTTGCTGTGCAAACAACGGAAAAGTGTGTATCTTCAGTACCAAGAGTTATCACAGCAGCATAGATCTCAAAAGCAATCCAGATATTTTCAGGAAATTGTGTCCTGGCTATGGTGACAGCTTTGGAATATGGTGCTTTTCTTAGCATATGCTGTGTACGGTGGCCAGCATGCCAGGTGGGTGGGGCCAGTGACCTGGGCCCGTGGACAGATTCACATCATCCAGAAGCTGGGTGGGCCAAGGTCTTCACTGCTAGAGGAGAGGTTGTATCCCATCAAGGCATGGTGGCCTGGGACCAAGGAGGTTATTTCCTTTCTGTAGGATGTGTGTCTGGGTGCCTGCTGGTCCTGGGGCTTAAACTCGAGGCCTGGACGCTGTCCTTTAGTTTTTTTTCCCCCTCAAGGATAATGCTCTACCACTTGAGCCACACCTCCATTTCCAGCTTTGTGGTGATCAATTAGAGATAAGAGTCTAGAGCCAGGCACTGGTGGCTCACACCTGTAATCCTAGCTATTCAGGAGGCTGAGATCTGAGGATTATGGTTCAAAGCCAGCTCAAGCAGGAAAGTCCCTGAAACTCTTATTTCCAATTAACTGCCAGAAAACTGGACGTGGTGCTATGGTTCAAAGTGGTAGAACGCTAGCCTTGAGCAAAAAGAGCTCAAGGACAGTGCTCAGGCCCTGAGTTCTAGCAACTGACAAAAAAAAAAATAGTCTCTGGGTCTTTTCTGCCTGGGTTGACTTTGAACTGAGCAGAATCCTTTTCCAGCAGAACGAAACAGAGATCATCAGATCTCAGCCTCCTGATCGCTAGCAGTACAAGGGTGAGCTATTGGTGCCTGCCCGTCAGTCTTTGTGTGATTGGATAATGAAAGCTCCTCTCCCTAGTCTTGTCTAATCTTTATTATTTTTATTTTATATCTTACTGCTCTGGGTAAGCCTAGAGGCATGGCATTGAACTAAAATCATGATGGAAATCATCTTTACTAGTAATAGTGTTCATAGGAAGTTAACACTCTCTGTCACTGTCTCTCTCTGTATTTACTTCGATTCTAAAATTAAGAGTTTCATCCTGACTAGATGTGGAATTTGTGTTTAAAGCCTTTTGTGTATCTGAGATGATCTTCCCATCTCAACTCAATAATGTGTTGTAGTGCAGCAATCAGTATTACATTGCTGTTGCATTTTTGGAATAACTGAGGGTCTTGTACATCACCACACTTTGCATAATAAACAGATATCCTTGGAATATTTGCCTTTATGTTTATAGATGAGATTGGCCTGTACTTAGGGCCTACTTCTCTTTAGGGCCCCCCCCCCCCCCCCCCCCCATGCTGACACTGGGACTTGAGCTCAGGGCTTCTCACTGTTGCTTAGCTTTTTAACTCAAGGCTGACACTTTTGATACATTTGAGCCACAGCTCCATTTCTGGATTTTTGATGGTTAATTGGAAATAAGAGTCTTATGACCTTTCCTGCCTGAGCTGGCTTGGAACTGAGGTCATCAGATCTCAGCCTCCTGAGCAGCTAGAATGACAGGTGTGAACCATCTTACCCAGCTTAGGCTGTGGGGTTGTATAGAATGAATTTGGAGGTGTCTGCCCCCTCTCCTTTAGGCTCAGGGAGTCTTGCCCCTTAGACAGTGGGTGAGCTCTTGGGTGAACTTGATCCTTGGCCTTTGCTTTGTACTGGGGCTGCAAGTACATTCTATTTTGTTTAGAGCTCTTTTGGTCTGGCTGGACTGTCTTCATAGCTTCCACAATTAGTTTATACTCACAAAGCTTATCCTGTCAGGCTAATCCATTACTTATTTGTTCCTTTTTAACAGAGAGGTGATTGAAAAGAAGCCAGAAAAGTTTAAAGTCCAGTGCTTGACAGACATCAAAAACCTGTTTTTCCCAAACACGGAACCCTTTTACGCTGCTTTTGGAAACCGGCCGGCGGTAAGGGTGGGGTAGGGTCTGGATGAGCTCTGGACATTAGCCTGTGACCTGACTATGTGTCCAGCCAGCTTCCTGTCCTGTAAGGGGTGGCCTGGTAAATGCCACGTCCCTAGGCAGAGATGAAAAATGAAGTCACGCATGGCCTCTATAGTTTTCTTTGAAGGTTGGCTGCTGGGTTTGAAGCTGGGGATGGGGACAATTAAACTTCTAATTTCACATTACTTAAAATTAGTGCAATTAGCGATGTTGAATAGCATTAGATCCTTCCTACCAGAAGGAAAGCCCACAATGGATCTTGACCACAGTGCTGAATTGGACATCTCATGTTTGAAGAGTGGAGTAGTCTCTAGTCTCCTAGGGTATAAAATAGCCTTTGAGATTTTGTGTGTTTGGTCCAAATTTTCCGGAAAGTTCAGTAGTCTGGAGAGTACAACTTGAGTAGTAGCTGTTCATCCAGAAATTCTCCTACTTTTAAAAACGATGACCAGATTTTCAGAGAATAACCCGAGGCATGACAGTGGGAGACCTCACTGTTTCCAGGAGCGCAGGGAGGGAGGGAGGGAGACACCTGGAGCGTACACCCCCCTCCCCACACCCACCAGATGCTCAGATTGGTCCTGAGCATGGAATCACATTCCCTCTCTAACCCACATGTCATGTTTCCTGTACAAACACAGGATGTGTATTCCTACAAGCAAGTGGGGGTGTCCTTGAACCGCATCTTCACTGTGAACCCTAAAGGCGAGCTGGTTCAGGAGCATGCCAAGACCAACATTTCCTCGTGAGTACCACCTGCTCCCATGGGGCTGGACTGGAGCTCCCTCCTGTCCAGAAGCAGGGTTCTTTTATCCTTTTCTGCCTCTGTGTTAATTCCTGTATGTATGTATGCATGTATATGCATGCATGCATGCATGTGTCCATATTTTTTGTGCTAGTCCTAGCTCTTGAACTCAAGGTCTTACATTCCTCTCTTGGCTCTTTTGCTCCAACTTACGCTTTATCACTTGCATCACACTTCTGGATCTAGCATTTTGCTGGTTAGTTGGAGATAAGAGCCTCATGAATTTGTCTGCCCAGCCTGGCTTCGAACCATGATCCTCAGATCTCAGCCTCCAGAGTAGTGAGGCTGACAGGCATCAGCCAATGGTACCTGACTACTAATTCCTTTAAAAAGATAGTGTAGCTGCCTGTATTTTGTCCCAAATAATTTTTAGGCAAGTGGAGTAACATCACATCCCCAAGTCGTCTTCACACTGGAAATACTATCCTTTTTCTTTCCCCACGGTTGGGCTGTCTAAGGCCCACCCAGGGCAGGAAGGCCACACGTGCTTCTCAGGTGCTTTTCTTCTGCTTTCTGAGGCTGTCTTTATTAAGGAATGATGTCATAAATAGCCAAAGTACCTTGGCAGAGAAATTAGTTGCCCACCCCTGGGTTAGAGCCTGTCAGGAAAGGAATGGAATGAATGTAAACTGGTTGTTTACATTTGCCATGTTTGGTTTGGAAGCCTACAGTATGCATTAGAAATATAAGCCCATTGTGATGTGTGAAGCTGAATTTAAAGACAAAGAGCTAAGTATCTCTTCACCAAGTTGTTCCTATTCCAGTGTAATTGTCAAGAATCCTGTTTGCATTTTTGGTTCGAGCTAAGTTTCTCCTAGTCAGTGTGCTAAACTAGATTACTGATGGTTTCGTTCTCAAGTTTTAGTTTTTACAGTGCTAGGGTTAAAATCCGGGGCTCCTGCCCACTAGGTGGGTGCTCTGCCTTTAAGCTACCAGCCCAGCCCATGGATTACTTACTTTGTGTTTCAAGACACAAAACCAAGGCTGGCCTCAAACTTCCTATCCCCCGACCCCAGGTTTCCAGACACTGGATTTACAGGCATGTACCACCGTGCCTGGCTGGATTTGTTTGGCGTGCAGTACCCATCGGAGTCCTGTGAAAGCTCTCTGTGTTCTGCCGCATCTCCCTGGGGTGCCCCCCGGCTGGGAGAGCCCCAGCAGACACCAGTGCCCGGCCTAGTCCCTTGCAGCGGCTGCACAGCCTTTGATCCGAGCTCTGCTCACCTGGGTCACAGGCGCTGGCCTGTGCCACCCAGGGAGCTGAGTCAAACTCTCTTCATGCAGAGGGAGTTGGTTCTGCCAAATTCCTACCAGCTTTTGCCTGGTACTTCCCATGGTTTTAGGTGGATTAGAGATTTTCCTTTCAAAATAGTCTTTGTTCCAATGGGACTGACATTCAGCTGCATGAGTGGTTCCCAGCTCCAGGGAGCCATGGCTATGCACAAACCTCCTGAGCCCGGAGCCAGGCCCAGCCCAAGTAGGCCTCAAGGGGTGTGGGAGGGAGAGGGGGGGCGGGGATGCTCCCCTCCTTTATCCACACAGTGATGGTCAGGCAGCTTCCTGGCCGACCCCACTCCTCCCTCAACTCTGCCCTGAGGATATGCTGTGTGGCCCTTCCCCATGTGGAGACCACCCCCAGCCTTCCCAGTCTCCCGATGACGCAGGGGCCCCTGCGGGGAGGGGAGCATTGGGATATTTACAGCACCGTCGTGGGCTGTACCGGGTTGTCAATAGAGGCCGGTGGCTGTGGGCGGCCGCGAGGAGCATGCGCGTGTCCAGCCCCTCACTTGCCCATCCACTGATTTTGAGAGCCCAGAGGGCCCTGGTGCTGGCTTTAGTTGGGGTCTCTAATAGTGCACTGCCAGAGGTGGCATACCGCGCGGGCGGCGAGGAGGAGAGGCTTTCGCTAAGGGCTGTCTGCTGGCATCCACAGTCAGTTCTAAGCCAGGCAGGTGCTTGTCCCTGGGAGCCTGGTCAGATGTCTGGGTGGTGTTCAGAGACGGGGCCATATGTGAGCAGCACGCGGTGCCTTCCTTCCCACTGTGCGTCAGGAGCAGCAGGGCCTGAGCCGGGAGAGGCCACCTGGACAGAGCTGGCCCCACCCCTCCCCCACCTGCTTGGTATGGGCAGACCCCGGGCAGAGGAGGGCCCCGCCCTCTGCCCCAGCCACAGGCCTCACACACAGGAGCCCTAAAGCCAGGAGGTATTTAAACACTTGGTTTGTTCTAATACCCAGGAAAGACACAAGCCTTGGTTTTATACGAAGATTTTCCCATTTTGTGCTGGCTCAGTTTCTCATGAGCCTGTTGGAGGCTCTTTATCACACACGCACACGCACACACACACACACCTTATCACATACACTATCAATGCATACTCACACACCTGTGCATACACACATGCATACACACAAGTACACATCAGCATATGAAAAATTAATTTTTGCCCCAGAACATGCTTAATTCCTGGAGTCTGGATTCCCAAGGCCCCTTCCGTTCCCAGCACATGGGAAGGGGGGAAGGGGAAGGGTGGGAGGTAGGGCATGCAGGGCCGGGGCGAAGGTGGAGGGGGGCAGGCTGGTGTATCCCAGGTTCTGAGTGGAACCATCCTCCAAGTCTGAGAAGGCAGAGTTTCAGCTTTCTAGCTGTAGCTCGGGCCATGGAACTTGCTATGCAGCATCTTCTGGGAATAGAGAAAAGGCTGTAGGAGGAGCAGTAAGAAACCCACACACTAGAAGATGAAGGACTTGAGGCTCAGAAAGGGCAAGATACTTGCCCAAGTTTACACAGCAAGGTAGGCACTGACTAATACCAAGCTTCTTGATCCCAACATACCAGCAGGGATTTTTTTCCCCCAAGACCTATTAATGATTTGCTCTTGAGCAAACTGATCAAGTGCGCGGTACACATTATTTTATTGTTGCGTGCATTATTCTGTTTGGTACTGATATTAACAGTGCAGCCAACTGTTTTGATAATGGAGGAAATGGTGGTTTTGTACAAGGTGACAGAGCTTGAACAAGGCCTTGACCCCAGGGCCTGTGCGTCTCTGTCTTTGGCTCCAGAGGCCGGCTTTGTCTGTGACTTCTTTCCCTCCATCCTCTGCCATGCTGATTTCCTCCCCAGATCCTCTGCATTCTCTCCCCTTATGCATCTGGGCTGTGTGTGTGTGTGGGGGGGTGGGGGCTGTGAAGGACCCTGTGACCTGAATCGGGGGGGGGTCTCTGAAGAGAATCTGCACAATCAAGTCCCCCCACACCCACAGAACTTCTCCTCCTTTGCAGACTCTTTGTTTCTTTTGCTTCCAGCTAATTGGTAAGATGTCCTCCTAGAAGGACTGCAGCCTTTCTCAGGGTCTGCTTGGGAGTCTACTGCTTGGGGCTTAGCTTTCCCCCTGCGCTGTAATGCGGCCCTGAGTCCCAGCTGCACGCCGCGTGGCCGCTGTGACACCGCTGTCCATTTTCCTTCCAGGTACGTGAGACTCTGTGAGGTGGTGGACCACGTGTTCCCACTGCTGAAGCGAGGCCATTCTTCAGACTTCCCCTGCTCCGACACCTTCAGCAACTTCACTTTCTGGAGAGAGCCGCCGCCGCCTTTTGAAAACCAGGACATTCATTCTGCCTCAGCCTGACCTGAGCCAGCGGCCCTTGTGATGGTGCCGGAGACTGGGTGTCACCCATTAAAGAATAGGTTGTGGGGACCCCAGAGTGCCACAGTGTGGCCATTTTTCTTAGCAAGATTGAGAAGCACTCTCTTCTGCCCTGCCTGCCCCACTTTGTCCGGGGTGACGTTTCTAAGCTGGGCGTGGGGGACAGGCCAGGAGCCGGGTGCAGTTATAATGTGTGATATGCTTCTCACAGGGGGCATAATACCCACAATGCCTCGCTCACAGCCTGCCCAGGTGCTAGTTCTCAGTTGCTGCGCAGTGTGGGCAGAGAGACCCCCTGCAGAAGAGGGCTGTCTGAGCATGTCCTGCTGCGGACAGTGTCCCGTGAGGATCGCCAGAAGTACATGATCTGTGGCTAAGGAGGGGCGCATGCGCAGGACAGCCACGTCCAGGCCCCCTGCCCGTGTGTGGGGCGAGGGCTGTGAGGGGTCACATGACCTGCATCCGAGCCAGTCAGACCTCACTGGGTCTGACCTCTGGCCTTGGCCTTGTGAATGTTACCTTGCAGTTATTTGCTGGCTAGTCTCAGTTGTAGGCCCTGAGTTCTTTAATTCTTTTGGCTAAAGCTAGCCTGCGTAGTTGGCCTTTCTGTCCCCATTGTTTTTGCCTCAAGGCTGGGCTTATTTATGCCTTAACGCATCTGTGACAGAACTTTCGTTTGGAGTGCACGGTGTCTAGCTCTCAGTAACCTCTCGAAGCCTTAAAGTCGAGTAGGGGTAACTTTTTCTGAGGCAGTATTGATCAGCTCACCCGCCCAGCAAGGTGGGGCTGCTAAGGGGACTGTGAGAAGCACTTAGGCCAAATGATGACGATGTTGATTTCTTTCTTAGTTGATTTAAAGAGAAACAGTTAAGTGTTATTCTTTGTAGGTATTATTTATTGCTTTGCTCCGATTGGACTTTTCTGTTGTAAGCATTCTCGCTGTATTCTTTTGATTGCAGCTGTCGTGGTTACATTAAACAGATGAGCATGCTAGACGATCCAAAGACTTCTGTCTAACTGATACCCTGACCTTTAAGAATTTATAAGTACTTTATTTCCCTTAATGTTGTCCACTCAAGAACAAGGGAAACAGTACTAATTTGAGTGACATTCTCTTAAGCTAATCCTTCTTTAATAAACTGACTTGTGGTCAGAACAATGTGAAAAGTGAAGGAATTATTTTGGTAAAAGATTGTGCTTGACTTTCCAGTGTATTATTATCATTATTATTATTTTTTTAAAGAGCGTGATCCTCCCTGGACTGAAATGCTTTACTATTTAAAGTTCATTGTTAAAGAGTCACAGGGGGCCAAAGATGGAACTGTTGAACGAAATGTTATTCTTTCTGTGAAAGAAAATCCAGAGTTGCTTCCTTGGTGGGTACTTCCAGGTGGGTTCTATGAGGGACAGACCTTTCCTGAGTGGTTCACGGAGACGGCCAGAGGAATCTCAGACTGGCATAGAGACACAGGCATGCACAAGTTGATTCCCTTTTGGAGGCATTAAAAAACTCCTTGGGCTTGCTCCCTAGTGCCCCCTAGAGGCTGTGTTCCCCTTCTGCCACCAGGGTGTTTTGTTTTGTTTTTGGACTTTAAGAGCTATGACCCATGTACATGCTAATGCAGTCTGCTGGGTTCGGGTGGCTTCTCCCTAGCACTTAGGAGGATGTCTGGCTGTGGGAGAGGGTGTCTGTCCCCATGCACTTTACCCCGTGTTGACCCTCTGCAGGCCACAGGAGCTCTGAGCTCATGCATCGCCTCACTCTTGATTTTGATGTACCTTAAACTTCCACATCCCTCCCCCTTCCCCTTCCTTAAAAAAAAAAAGTCACACTCTCAGATCTGTCAGGTCCAGTGGGAACTCTGGCCAGGCTGTGGAAGTAGCATCTGCTCGTGGCTTCTGAAAAGGATTTGTATGGGGGCAGCAGCCACCAGGGTCGGGCTGTCTGTGTGTATGCTGTAACTTGTGGCCCCAACATCATAGGCTAGAATACTGGTTTGCGGCAACATGTTTCTTAATGAACCATTCTATGGCTCTGAGTATTCAGATGCTCATCACACACAATGAAAAATAGGCAGCCCTGCACAAAAATGGTTATATCTTCAAAGGTTATACCTTTCGATTTTTAGGTTCAGCTCCCTCCTTCAAAGTATATTTTCTGTACAACATTTGATCTATATTTGTAAATGCTGGTACAGTGCTGAAAATCACTGTAATATTTCATTGCATTGTGCCCAATGTGGAAGTAGAAAATATTGGAATAAACGAGATGGATGAAAGACTTCTCTGCAAACCAGCTGTGTGAATTTGTTGTTGTTGTTTTTGGTTGTGGGACTCGAACTCAGGGCCTGGGTGCTGTCCCTGAGCTCTTCTATCCATAGCTAGTGCTCTACCACTTTGAGCTATAGCACCACTTCGGTTTTCTGGTGTTTAAATTGGTGATAAGAGTCTCATGGACTTTCCTGCCCGAGCTGGCTTTGAACTTCAGATCTCAGCCTCCTGAGTAGCTAGGATTCCAGGCGGGAGCCACTGGCACCTGGCTCAGTCATAATTTCTAATGCTATATGCCAACATGGTCAGAGACTTCCTGTTGTTTTACCTGCCCGAGCCTTAGCATTTCTGGGAGAAATGGAAGCTTATTGGCCCTTGTAGGAGAACAGAGGCCCAACTCTTCACAATCTACCACAGTTCATCTCTGGGCATCTGTAGCATTAATGCTGTACACTTTGGAGAAGAGCTCGTCTTGTTGGACATCGGGGAGGTATGTCGGCTCTTAACTGTGGAATACCAATTAGTGTGAGCTGTCATCTGTGCCGTCCATGCCCGCACGCACCTCTCGCCCTCCCTCACCCCCCTTTGGCACCCGAGGCTGCACCATGTGTACGCCGCTGCCACAGGCCGGCAGGAGAGCCAGCGTCCCATCTTTCCTAGGACTTCACTGGTAACTTCCCCAGGTTTGGAAATGTGTTATCAGTTTGATGTTCAAACATGGATGTGCTCACCACCTTGTACCGGAGGCCTTTTCTAAAGGGGCGGTGTGCAGAACTCCGGCAAGCGCGGGCCCAGGGACACTGTGGAGGGAGAAAGTAACGTGGCTCCTTTGGAAAAAAAATGAAGCAAGCTCCTAGAACCTGCCTCACTCCAGCAGGCCCGCAGTTGTAACCAGCTCCCTTTGAGAGCTGGACCCCTCTCCCTGGCCCTCCTACCTTCTGACTCAGGTCGTCTGTGTTTAGCACTAGGTCTCCATCTTGTCCTTGAACTTGGAGAAGGAAGGGAAGAGCCACCGGGGTTTTAGTTTTGATCTGCTTCTAACGCCTTGCAGTCCTGTGGCATCAGAAGTAGCACTCTGGGTCACTTGCATTGTGAGCTGGCCAAGGGACTTGTTTTCTAGAAGCCAGCCTAAGCCCAGACAGCAGCTGGTCTTGGGAGTCAGTGGAACGCACTGACCACCTGGGGGCACAATTGGTTTTGGTATGGCTGCATAGCCTTCAAAAAAAAATCAACAACCCAAATGAAAATGCTGGCTCCACTTTAACAGAGGCCCCTGGGCTGTAATGCTAGGCTTGGAGCCCAGCCAGCTGTGGACTGCGCTTGTGGGAAGAACCGATAGTTCCTTAGTGGGGGCTGTTTTGGCCCTAAATCCTGGGGTCCAAATCATTAACTGCCTTTGAAGGGGGGAAATAGTCTGTGGCTATTTGTTTAGATCTGAAATCCATGTTGGTTTGTGACTCTCCAAGTCTCATCTCTGCCCGCCAGAGAGTCCTGGAGGAATACAAGATCCCAGGCTCTTAGGCTAGGCCTACAGAGTCAAGCAGTATTTGGGGGTCTGTCACCTGATTGAATGAGTCCTCTGAAGGAGTCTGAGGCGTGCTTAATGGAGACACGCATGTTAGATGGAGGCTGTGTCCTTTTGCAGCTCCCAACTGACCTGCATCTAACTGGTCAGGCCAGGAATTCTAACAGCCCAAGGCTCACGCAGCCCAGCCCTCCTCTCGGGGAGGAGCATTGTTGTCCTGGTATTGGGGCTTGAACTCAGGGTCTGGGTGCTGTGCCTTAGTTTTTCCACTCCAGACTGGTGTTCCACTATTTCAGCCACACTTTGACTTCTGGCTTTTGGGTGGTTCCTTGGAGCTAAGAGTCTCACAGACTTTCCTGTCCAAGCTGGCCTTGAACTATGATCCTCAGATCTCAGCCTCCTGAGTAGCTAGGATTACAGGTGTGAGCCACTGGTGCCTGGCTGGAACGAACATCTTGATTCAGCCACTCTGAAGAAAAGGAGCCAAGAAACTCACCCCAGGGGACACGGCCTGAGCCCCCTTGGCTGGGCTCTCAGTTGTGAGCCACAGGACTGGGAAGGCAGCGCAGGCCAGGCAGCCGAGGGGAGGGGGGTGGGAAGGGAGGGCCATGAGAGTCCAAGGGACAGAACAGATCTGGCTGTGCCCAGATTTCTAATGGTCAGAGCCCTGAGGTGGCTTGTCACGATGCCAGGATCTTTTCACTGAGCAGGAAGCCCGTTCAGCCTGCATTGCTTCTAATGAGTTTTGCAAACAAGTGGCCTCTTCCTGTGACTCACGCTCTTCTTTTGTGCACCGGAGATTGTGGTTTGAAGTTCACATTGGAAAGTAACCACCACTTCTGCTGCTTTCTCTGCTGCTGGAACCCCAACAAGTCACATTCTTTTTTTTTTTTTTTTGCAACAAAGAAATGTAAATGTGGGAACAGCCAGTCATATTTCTGCCCTGATTGTAAAAACATCCTTTTCCGAGATGGTCCACAGAGCCAAGCTGGGAAGAAATGGTTTATACATTTGAAGTCACACGTTTGTTGGTTTGAGGGTTTCATATTTTCCTTTTGGGGAGTCACTGGGTAATTTTCACTTTTGTCCTTTGTCTTGTGGATTCATATTTTGGGGGTGTACTAAAAAAGACACATTGATTAGATGAGGAGGTTGAAACTACTTTATTGAAGGAGACGTCACTGTGGATTAAAGTCTGGGGTCTCCATGCCAGGTGGCCCATGAAAGACAACAGGTAGAAAGCTGGGTGTTGGCGGTTCACACCTGTAATCCCAGCTACTTGGGAGGCTGAGATCTGAGGACTGAGGTCCAAAGCCAGCCCTAGCAAGAAGGTCTGTGAGACTGTAATCCTCAATCAACTATCAAAAAGCTGAAAATGGCACTATGGCTCCAAATGGTAGAGTGCTAGCCTTGAGCACAAACAGGCTCAAGGATAGTGCTCAGGCCCTGGTTTTAAGCCTCATAACTGGCATGGGCATGCACACCTACCCATGTGTGTACACACACACACACACACACACACACACACACACACACACACACACACCAGGTAGAATTTATTGTGCATGGAAGTGCTTCCTCCCCCCTCTGTCTCCCTCTTTCCCCACCCTTTCTTCTGGTCCTGAGACTTGAGCTCAGGGCTGGGGCTCTGTCTCTGAGTCTCTTTGTGCTCAAGGCTAGCACTCTACCACTTGAGCCACAGTGCTACATCTAGGTTTTTCTGAGTAGTTTATTGGGCATAAGAGTCTTACGGACTTTTCTACCTGGGCTGGCTTTGAACTGTGATCCTCAGATCTCAGCCTCCTGAGTAGCTAGGAGTACAGGTGTGAGCCACTGGCGCCTGGCTACAGAAGTGCTTTTTACCCAGTCCTCCAGAGATCAGTTCATGCTATCTGAATTTCTTAGCATAAGCCAGCCTGTAGCTGGACACATATATTACATAGCATGTTTTAAAGAGTCATCTTCAAAATGTTACTGTTAAATGAAAGTATTATTACTTTTTTGTGTGCTAGTACTGAAGTCAGGGCTGTGCTATCTTGCTTGCCTTTTTTAGTCAAGGTTGGTGCTCTACCACTTGAGCCACACCTCCACTTCCTGCATTTTGCTGAGTAATTGGATGATAGGAATCTCACAGAGTTTTCTGAGTAGGCTGGCTTTGAACTGGGATCCTCAGATCTCAGTCTTCTATGTAGTTAGGATTACAGGCATGAGCCACCAGCATCCAGCTAAGAAATTATTTTTATGTCATTCTTTTTGAAATGCACACGAACATAAAACAATAGCTCTTCTGCAATTAAAAAACCAAACTACATTTAAAATTAAGTGCAGATAAAACTATAGCCCTAATAGGATTCTAATGAACACTAATGTTCAATTAGGGAAACTGCGTGGTTTGAGTTTATAATAGATGCATTTGTGTCTGTTGTTACATTTCTCAACTATTTAACTTCTGAGCACCATGGACTGTTTTTGTAAATCATCAACATCACTGATGTAGTCACGAGAAGCCCTTATTCCCTATGAATACGGAATAAGGTAATAAACTAGTAATAAACTGTTGTAGATTTGTGTGTGTGTGTGTGTGTGTGTGTGTGTGTGTGTGTGTGCGTGCGCATACCAGTATTGGTCCTTGAACTCAGGGCTTGAGCACTGTCCCTTATCCCCCCCCCCCTTTTTTTTTTTTGCTCAAGGCTGGTGCTCTACCACTTAAGCCACAGCTGCTCTCTGGCTTTATGGTGGCTAACTGGAGTTGAGTCTTGCTCCCAGACTTTTGTGACAAGACTGGCTTCAAACTGCAACTCTCAGACCTTAGCCTCCCAAGTAGCTAGGTTTACAGGTGTGAGCCACTGGTGCCTGTCTTGTTGCAGATTTTTGTGCCGGTGAGGGTCTCCCACTCAGCATCTCAGAGGACCCTGGGGACCGAGTTGGATGGGGGAACCTTTTGGGTTTTGAGACTATATAGCAGAGGCTGGCCTTAAATTCATGTTCCTCCCACCTCAGCCTTCCCAAGGCTGGATACAAGGGCCTTTGCGTTCGGCAGGGACAATGCTGGCCATCGTCATCCTGTCTTCTTCTCTTTTCTGAGTGCTACAGAGCCTTGGTTTAGAATGCATGGCCACTGGGCTTCTCGAGCCACTGATAGCGTTCGTGTAGGTTTGGTTGCTGCCACCTTTCCTGTCCTGTCCTGCTGACGGATGGATAGGCATAACTGGGCTGAGTGGGACCCAGGCGTCCATTTACCACCGCAACTCCTGGGCTCCCTGGTAAAAATCGAGCTAGAAGTAGCCATGGCTTGAAACGTGCTCTGTTAATAATTCCTTTCACCTCCCTTTCCTGGCTCTAGGAAGGTGGGGACTTTGGGAAGACTCTGAAATCTAGTAGCAAAGCATCCAACGGAGCCAACACTGGGAATGCCCAGGGCTTTCCCTCCTGGTGGTCCTTTGCTCCGATCTTGTGGGTGAAGACTTAGTGCTCCCACCTGAGGGAGAGCTCCTCCTCCT